TGCAGACCCATCTTTTGTATTTTTAGCAAAAAATGAGCATCCCAAAAACGTGAGTTCGATTGCCAATATAAACATGTATTTGCAGTATCTTGAGGTGTTAGTCTTTGCATTGTGCCTGTTTGCAATAGCAATTGGAAGTTTAGTTTAGGTGTGACACTTCCATACAGTATTTTTTCTATTGTTTACCCAGAGCTAGCGGAATTACCCAATTGTTTGTTTGTTCGTTCATTATCTGTCATGCTGGCTGGCGGTGGTTTGGGGTGCGGATTGCGGGGCATGATTTTCGGCTAACAACGGGGTAGTTAGTTGATTCTTTCATTTGTTTTTTAGTACTCTCAGAATGCCATTTACCCAAGATTATGAATCTTCGTCACTTTTACAAGGTGGCATAAATGATGAGTTTACTATTAGTCATGCAGCTCCATGAGCTGACTTGCTTCAGAGTTGATCACTTGTCAAATAGCATAGTTTTCTTTTTGATCCTTCTTGGTGGCCAAGCATAGTGGATTGTTTCAGTCTGTTCCTGCCATACTTAGTAGTATCCATCGTTAAAGATGCTCCACCCCTAGGTTCTTTGTACGTATGTATAGTTTCATCATGGTTTGCTTGCAGCTCACCTTTTTGGCTTTCACAGGTGAATCAAGGACTTACGGTTTATGGAAATAAGGGGAGCACAGATCAGCATGCGTGAGTTCACATTTTTCTTTATTAAGTGCAGCTCATCTATATCTTGATGCAAACTATTTGCGAGCCTGATGCACCTGTTCGTGCAGCTACATCCAACAACTGAGAGAAGGCGTCCACAATTTCTTTGTGACATTCATTGAAGTATTACGCGATAGGCCTCCTGGTCATGATTGGGAGCTTGAACCAGGCGTCACATGTGGGGACTACCTGTTTGGAATGCTACAGGTTGGAATGCTAAATTTTTTTTATATTATCTGGAGATGATATTTTAGTTTCATTGTTTTACCGCTTGCTCTCCTTTTAGTTCCTGTCTACCTATATCCATCTGAACGAGTTTTTACAGGGAACAAGGTCAGCTCTTTATGGTAACGACCGGGAGTCAATTACAGTTACTGTGCAAGAAGTGACACCTAGATCTGTTGGTGCTCTTATAGCACTTTATGAGAGAGCAGTTGGGATATATGCTTCACTTGTCAACATTAATGCGTATCATCAACCTGGTAAATAAATATGTTTATCCATCCTTGGTTCTGGAAGTGAGAAAGCTTTTCATCTTTGTTAACCCCTTTCATTTTATTCTTGGCTCAGGTGTGGAAGCTGGTAAAAAAGCAGCTGGAGAAGTTTTAGCTCTTCAGAAGCGGGTTTTAGCTGTACTCAATGAGGCCAGGTATGTTGTCAATTATTAGCAATCTAGTTCATTTTGTGTATAGGTTCTGAAATGTGTCGACTCCGCAATTCTGTGTGTGGTGGTCCTTGCAAATAATTTTGAGTTTGTCCAAAATTAAAGGAAAGAAGCTATTTGCTTTAGGAACAAAATTGGTGTCATTCAGAGACATCCTTGTATCGAAACGCCTGATTTCGAGTGCAAAGTTCATACAAATATGGGTATGGCAGGGAAAAAAAAGGTGTGTGCAAGGTGTTCCTGCAATACTTTTGGGAATGTGACAACAGATCATTATTTGGAACGATTCTTAGAAACAATCCAGATCAAGTAGTTCTGTATTTTTACAAAATTAAAGGGAAAAAGGACAATTGCTATGGAACAAAATTGCTGTCACATCCTGGTGTTGAAATGCCTGATTTTAAGTGTGAATGTGTTTCAAATATGGAAAGAAAATACGTGGAAGGTTTTACCTGTTATCCTACTAAGAATATGACAACATTATCATTATTCGGAAAACAGACAAAACCCAGATGAAGGACCACCTCTACCATGCCACATAAACTATAGATGTGACTGGATTTGTCGTGGTTTTTAATTTTCACCATTCACCACCATCTTTCTGTTTTCAGCTGCAAGGAGCCTGTTGAACCGTTGACGCTTGAAGAAGTAGCTGACCGGTGCCATGCTCCCGAAGAAGTATTTCCAGTTTCTCAGTGTCATTCTTTTCTTTATGAAATCCCGTTTCAAATATTAGTTAATTTCTTCGCTAACCTTGTTACATAATTGCTTCAGATCGAAATGATTTACAAGATCATCGCTCACATGGCCGCCAATGACAGAGCACTCATTGCGGAAGGCAGCTGCGGTTCACCACGGAGCATCAAAGTTTTCCTTGGGGAGTGTAATGTCGATGCGTTGTATGCATGAGTTTGTTTTCTCCTGTATTATGCATGTGTTTGAATTTACACATCCGAAGATTTGATCTTCCTTCCCATTGTATCTTGTCTCTTGTTTGGTCAAGTTAGCTTGGAAATAATAAAAAATTATGTTCCGACATTTAGGAATAATAAGCTGGTTTATCAGAAATATATATATATAATATTGTCATAATCTTCATCATCTTTGTCAACGTTGTCTGCAGTGTTCCATTTTTTTTTTTTTTTTTTTTTTTTTTCTTGATCATGTTTATTTGATTATAGTAATAATAATAATAGCAGATATTCCAACACCCCAAGCACATGAAAGTATTGATGGTATGATTGAGGGCCCGTATGGTAATATACACTTATTGTTCATAAACGCGTTTATTATAACGTCATACTTTTGGTTAAAATTTCAAGTGCTTTTTAAGTGTTAAGTGCTTCTTCAGAAAACGTTTGTATGTCTTATAAACACTTTAAAATTGTTTTGTCGTTATCAAGGTTCAGGTTTGAGTTATGCTTCTGACAATCCCTCTTTGTGGGTAATATGTAAAAATAAAAAATAGGGATTAAGAGATGGCGTAGCCTCCTCTCCCTCTAAACTTTTAGCAAGCAAAAATAATTATAAAAAATGTTCTATCAAACGCAGTTATAAACGTTCTTGGCTAATTCAGAAGTACTTTCAGAGTCAATTTTCAAATTTTCAAAATGCTTTTTGAAAATGGTACTTGACTAAAAATTGACAAAATAAACGGTCTCAATAATATGGTCCAGCACACAGGCTGCAAAAGACAACAATGGATGATTGTGTATTTGGGGCTGTGAGATTGAAATCCAATTTGTCCATGTCACTGTCCATCTCCAAGGCTCCAACTGTTGCCTACCCTGTTTTCATTATCAAACAGCACACGCCTAACAAATTCCTAATACTACTAATACTCATTGTCATTGTCGTAATTAAATAAGGTAATTTGAAAAGTGCACCGCTGGAAAGCTTCATCTTTGAATTTTTTTCCTCATCAATGTATCCATCTTTTGTATAACTTATGGAAAAAGGTGTGTACAACTACTAGTAGCACTCAATCGAGTACGGACAATCCAAAATTTTTAGATATGACCTTAGGAGACTTTAACCACACACTATCCATATAGTCAAGATGCATATTATTTTCACTCTTCTTTTTGGAGATTTGTCGTATCGCTTACTAATTCGGTATTTTGTATTCATATATGAGTAAAAAATGAGTCAATTATACTCTCAAGGAAATTGTCATCAACGCCTTGAAATAGTCATTGTGTACAAATTACTCCCATATATCTATTGTCTCACTCCTAATATAATAAGTGACATGGAAAGAGAGATAAAAAGACATAAGCAGGGACACCGAGACAGGGAAGTTTCTCTCACAATTTAGGGGTGCTCACGCATCTCACACGTTTTATGTATCAACGTTTACCTAACAGAGAGAGAGAAAAAAAACGCCAAAATAGAGAGAGAAAGACTCTGATGTTTGGTTGGCGGTGCGAGTCGCATGTGGTCGTAGTGGATCCCAGCCCATGCAAAAATAGCTTAAGGGCTAAGGCAACAGGCCACATTCAATCTAGTAATAATTTAACAATACACCAAATTAATCACACTTAAAAATTACAACGACCATAATAAATTACTAATTAAATAATTTCCAATTCCATTTGCAGTGGTACGAACAAATTTAGACAAATAATTTTATTTTATTTTTTCAAATTAAAGCGACCAGAAGCCCTATCCATGATTTCACATTCCACCCATTACCAAGAAAACAAAACAAGTGCCAAAAAAAGAAAAAAAGAAAAAAGAAAAAGAAAAAGTATGGGCCGGCGGGACCCACTGGACCACCACCACCCATGTGACCGGATTCTTTAGTTTAGCGCGAAATTAGACCAAAAAAAGCCTGTCTGTCCCACCTCCAACGTTCGAAACTTGTTTTATTTTATTCGACTTAATAAAATACTCTAAAAAAAACACATTCAATTTTTTATTCAAACAAAAAATAAAATAAAATTGGAGCTCCGGTTTGCCACGTCAACTACCCGTTACTTTGTTGAGAGCTACGTGCGCTTTATTTCCGGAATTTTAATTTTCATCATTAATGAATCTACGTTAAGGACGTTGAATCAATAACACAAAATCCACTTTTATTTCGCTCGCTGCTACGTCGCCGTTTCGATCTCCAAAATATTCTACCGACCACGTACGAGATTTGTTGGGGAGATTTTTGAAATCCAAAAAATGCAAAAAGAAGAGGAAAAAAAAGAAAATCCCATTAAATAAAATAAAAGTAGAGAAACAAAGAAAATATAGTTCACAGTGAGAGACTCTCTCTGACTCTGAGTAACGAAACAAAACCCAGCCCGCAGATTTGCAGATAGAAAGATCAAAAGAAGCAGCTTTAGGGTCTTCTGATAGCTTTTTGCAGAAGCCAACTTTCTCTTCCAACATCTCCTGCATTTAAGTTGATCTTCTCTGAAAACCTCTCCCTCTCTCTCTCTGTGTTGTTTATATAGCAATTCACATTTGGGCTTTCGCCATTGTTGTTGTTGAGCATTTTCAGTGGTGCAAACCCACAAGTTTGATTCATATGTGAGTTGATTTTCGGAAGAATCTGTGAAAAAGTTAATTTTGGATTTTTGGTTTCTGGGTTTTGAATTTTTTTAACTTTTTGTGCAGGTAAAGGAACAACCCAGAAGATATGTTCACTGAAGGTCTTGATAGGAGCGCCCTTCGTTGGGTTAGAGAGGTTTGCTTCACAAACTTGTTTACCACTTTCCTTTCCTCATTTGAGAAAAAATAATAAAAATTAAATAGACTTTAATTTGTACTATTTTTAGAGTGAGTGCTGTTTCTTGTTCTAGTGTTTTTATGATCTGGGTATGTGTTAACTTGCATGTGTTCTTTAAAGTTGACAACTTTGGTTTGAAATTTGACTTTATGGGTTTTGTTCTTAATCAGAAGGATGTTCCATTCTCGAGTTCTAATTTGAGACCTCGAATTGATCCGATTACACACATTCGTAGTGGTAGTGGCGGCAGGGGATTTGGACTGCCCCCACCGTCAAAATTTAGAAGTGGGCACTTGCCTTCCAATGCCATACCGGTTCGGACAATTCCAGCTGATGGGGATGAGAGTGGGTCTTCTGATAATGACAGAACCACTGATTCAGAAGACGGCATTTATGGAGGTAGATACTCACTGGATTCATCACCACAAGATGACAGGGTTCCCAGTGCTTCTGCTCATAGGTATGGGAAGCCGTCGCAAGGGCAACCCCATTATGGCAGTGATTATACGTACTCAGATGTCAGTTCATCAATGGACACTGTTGTGGGGAGACATAAACCTGCGGCCGAGAAGTTGGTCAGGGGAACTGGGAAGTATCCAGTTGCAAGGAATGGTTACACTGAGGATGAGTCATCAGATTCGGCTGCAAGCTCAGAATATTCTACTTCACAAGCAGGAGGAAGCATCAACAGTGGGGTGCCACGTAACAGAGCTTATGTTTCAGAGGGATATGCCTCGAGCGTGCCTTCACAGAGGAACTTGGAAAGCTCTGCCAAAAAGGTTTGTGACTTTCTATTTGTTTAATTGTGCTTGGATTGTTGTTTGATGTCAAAAACACCATGCAATGAGGCTTTAGCGTTATGGTGACTAAACATTTGGTTTATATTAGTTCATAAATGTTGGATGTTATTTCCTATTTTTCCTCTACTTAAAAGGTTGGCACAGGTAAATTGTTGAGGAATAGTTTAATTCATGTTGTAAGGACTTTCTATCTAACAAGCTGGCATTTTCTTTTACATCAATGTCGATAAATAATGGTTTACTCTGGTACTGATGCATAAATCTGTTGATTTTGCAGAATTTTAATTCCACAAACCTGCAGAGTGAAAAGTTATCCGATGATGATGTTCCTAGTGCACCACCTTTTTGTGGTGCAACTCAGGAAATTAAACAGGACGATGAGATAAGTCCATCTAGAGTACATAGGACACCACATGCAACCGCTTCATCTGAGTTCAAAACAACCCCTGGTAGAAAGCAGGAGGGCAATATTGAAAACGGCAATCTTGGCCAGTTTGTAAGGTCTGTATACTATTTAAATACTTCTCTTTGGGAAAATGTGATGCAATGTGCTTATGTTGGAAAGTGACATGACACTTGTGGCTTCACAAACATAAATATTTGAGGCATGCTACTCTGGTTTCTATGTTTTTTTAACTAATGAATACACATTTGTCATATATATGTATAAATTTGGTTCAGCTTACGTTAATCTCTGTTCACAGAACTACCACTAGTTCTGAAGCTGCTGTGCCATCATGTCCTGCTCGCCTCCCCACCTTTTATGCATGGTATCTGTAACCAACACCACAATTGTACATGCTTTTTTATGTTGTGTACAAACCTTTTGTTCTGCCATCTAAACTTTTATTAACTGTGCATGTGCCATTTGCAATTCAATACTAGTGCTCTAGGGTCATGGCATGCTGTTATTGCATATGATGCATGTGTGCGTTTGTGCCTTCATGCTTGGGCAATGGAATGCATGGAAGCTCCCATGTTTTTGGAAAATGAATGTGCTCTACTACGCGATTCATTTAGGTGAGTCCACGCTCTTCATCACCTTATTCGTCTATCTTGCCTTCAATTTAGTTGGATTTATGATATATTCTTGGACAGGACCCTTTGCTGTTGCCAGTTTGGTGTTCAAATCTTTGCATAAATTCCTATTGTAAAGAAAGTTTTGTAAATCACTGCACTAGGTCATTCAGTGCTATCCCTGATTTCTTTCTTAGCCAATTTTGTTTATTGTAAAAAAAGAAAAAAGAAAAAAAGAAAATTTCTTGCTTAAGCTAGGTTTATGATATATAAAAATAGTATAATTGAGTTTGTTGCTGCAAATTTATAGTTTGGCTAAAACCAAAGTTGAAAAGTTAGGTAATGCTAGGTTTTCAGATAACAAATTTGAACCTTATGGGAGTTCAATCCTGTTGAAAATGTTTTGATCTGACTAGCTAGTAGTATTTAGGGCTGAAATTTTGACAACAATGTCTGCATGATATAAAAGCTTCTGACTTTTATCTATTCCATTATTACACGAACTCCTAATCTTGTTAAAACCCTGTTCTCAAAACTGTAGTTTACGACAAGTACTTTTACAATCAGAGGAAGAATTGTTGTCAAAGCAGACTTCAGAGCTTGCCGGTGAGAAAGCTGCTCCAAAACCCAAGAAAATTGTTGGCAAGATGAAAGTGCAAGGTAGCATTTCTCGCCCATTTATAAAGTCTTACTGTTTAAGTAAGTGCTTGGTTACAGGATAATCCTAAATTCTTTTTCATTTTGCAGTGCGTAGAATGAAACCGGGCCTGGACCCACCCACTGGCTGTAGTATTTCATCTCTAAGGCCACCAGTAATCAAACTGGAATCCATTCGATATCGTCTTTCCAGCTTCCAGTCTACACTCGCTTCTGGATGGCAAGCCCTTCGAAGGATTCGAGTTGTACCTCGTGTACCTGCAAATGGTTCTTTTTCACGTCAAAGCTTGGCATATGTGCATGCTGGTACTCAGTATATAAAACAGGTGTCTGGACTCTTGAAAACTGGTGTAACAAGTCTGCGGGAGAGTTCGTCCTCATATGAAGTTGTGCATGGTATGAGAATGGAAAATTTCATGCTCTCTCTCACTGTGTATATCCAGATTATTATATGCTTCTTTTGTCATTAAATCATTGAGTTATTTAATAAATATATATCTTCCAAAATGATGAAAATTTATGGGCTGCTTGCATGTTACAAGTTGCTGATATATACTGCTATGTTTGTAATGTGTAAAGTTTCATTCTCTTCAAATGTTTTTCATGAGTTACTTGAAGTTTTAACCCTCACTCTTATTGGCATCAGAAACGTACTCTTGCTTGTTAAGACTGAAAAATTCAACTGAAGAAGAGGCTGTCAGGATGCAACCTGGATCTGGTGAAACTCATGTCTTGTATGTTCCCTTGTCCCTACTCTTTTGAACTATATCTGCTGGAAAAAGGTACTGACAACTCGTACAGCTTTCCAGATAGTTTGGGAGATGATTTAATAGTTGAAGTACTTGATTCAAAGGGAAAACATTTCGGAAGAGTCCTTGTTCAAGTGGCAACTATTGCTGATGACCCGGTAAGACTTTCTTGATCCTGATTGTAGCTATAAGGATAAATTAAAATGATAGTGGCTCTGGTAGAAAGGCTCATCTCAATGTTGACTGCAGGCTGACAAGCAACGCTGGTTCAATGTCTATTGTGAACCTGAACATGAGCTTGTGGGGAAGATACAGCTTTCTGTATATTATTCAATGAGTTCAGATGACAATCCCAAGGTGTGCTTTTGTTACTTTAGGAGCCTTAAAATATATCATCCTTGTTTTTTAAGTGTTTTTCATTGTTTCATAATTGAGTTAGACTTTTGTAATCTAAATCAATGGTAAACCTTGTGTAAAAAAAAATTATCATACAAGGTTACATAACAACCGTATCTTGATGGTTCAAGATTGTGGGCAGAATAGATGAAGACGTGATCTTCCAATTACTTTTCATTATCTTGTTTTGGGCCCCTAGGTATTCATTTATATTTAGGCTTGTGTGACAGGACATTAAAAACAGCATCTGTTCAATTCTCTTTTCAACTGGTAGCTATGTTTTTTGGTATGAGCTCAGAGTTTTCATCCAATAACAAAATATGCTAACACATACCCTCACTAAATATTGTGCTGCTGGAATCTTCTAGGAATGATAATATTTTGAATATTTTCTTGAGCAATTTCTAGGACTATTCCTCAGTAATGTATGTAATCCCCCACTCCCCTCCCAGTCTTGGGCCCAAAATGGAAAAAAGAAAAAAGAAAAAAGGGGAAGAAAGTATAGAGGTTTCTTTATTGTTTGGACATAATAATAATATTGTGTAAAGAATGATCCTTATTATATTACCTGAATGTGGGAATCCGGATACTTCATTTTATACAATGTATTCAAACTAGATTTATGATATTATTTTTTTTGCGTTCAGTGTGGCTCTGTTGCAGAAACGGTTGCATATGACCTAGTTTTAGAAGTTGCTATGAAGGTTCAGAATTTTCAACAAAGGAATCTATTGTTGCATGGTCCTTGGAAATGGCTTTTAACAGAGTTTGCATCATATTATGGTGTTTCTGATGTATACACCAAGCTGAGGTAATGGAGTGTTGTTGGGTTGATTGCTTGTTCCTGTTAAAATAATATGGCCATGTACTGTCAGTATTATAAGTTGCTCCTTTTTGTTCACTGATTCCATATCTGGAATTTCGATAGATATCTCTCTTATGTTATGGACGTAGCTACACCAACAGCTGATTGCCTCAACTTGGTCTACGATTTGCTAAAGCCTGTTTTGATGAAAGGCCACCATAAGAGCATGTTGAGTCACCAAGAGGTACAATTGCACTTGTCTTCAACCATGTATCGTTGTTGCTTCTTTTGATATTGATTTTTATGTTTTGACTAGTTTATGCAGGTTTGGCTTGCTTTTTGTTTTTGTTTTTGTTTTTTCATTCTACTTGTCATTCTCTTCTAACAGAATGTCTAATACTTTTGGTTGTCACAGAACCGAATCTTAGGAGAAACTAAGGTTCAAATTCAACAGATTCTTGCTCTAGCTTTTGAGAATTACAAGTCCTTGGATGAGTCATCGCTTTCAGGTATTTTGGATGTTTTTCGACCTGCAACTGGGCATGCTGCACCTGCATTGGAGCCTGCTGTGAAACTTTACACGCTCCTTCACGATATCTTGTCTCCAGAGGCTCAGACTGCTTTATGCCACCATTTCCAGGTTTGAGAAACTTTCAGTTTATTTAACTATTATTTCTGCAGTTGATATATCTATTTGCTTCTCATAGAGGTAGTGTGACTTGCCAGGTTGCCGCGAGAAAAAGATCAAGAAGGCACTTGGCTGAGACAGATGAATATGTTACCAACAACAGTGATGGAACTTTGATTGATATTTTGAGTATGACGACAGCGTACCAGAAAATGAAATCCTTGTGCCTTAACATTAGGAATGAAATCCTCACTGATATTGAGATCCATAATCAGCATATACTCCCCAGGTATGTACTTCAAACCGTCAAGTGGTACTTTCAAATATGGTAATTATGCCGTAAAATTATTTGTCATTAGAGCCGTATCATTTTTTTTTTATGCTTTTCTTAATTTTTAAACAAGTAGGCTGATCTTATTTTAGCAAAATGATGTTCCTAAAAAGATATTAGCAAAATGATAAAAATCTTTCGTGCATATTGTAGGCGTCATTTGTGGATAACAGTATTGTAAGCCTACATGAATTCATATTTTGACATTGGATATTGAATTTGTGTTGCCACTTGATTTTTTTAGTATATGATACAATTTATGTCGAACTATCATTAGCATGAATAATGATTTCATGTGCATATATGCTCTGAACCATTGCAGTTATGAACCACTGAGGACAATCTCCTACTGTAGTGAACTTTGCCATATCTGCATAATTTCCTTGCCATAGTTAAATGCCTGCTTTCTGTTATTTGTTCCAAAACATGTAGGTTGGAATCGTTACTTCAGGTCATCCTTTATGTTCCCAGATTGCTTATCTCACAGCCTTTTCCTGGTGGTTTGTCCGGCTGTCTGACGTTGGATTGATAAGATTCTAATGCTTTAACTTTCATTGAACAGTTTCGTAGACCTCCCACATCTGTCGTCATCAATATACAGCACAGAGCTGTGCAGTAGATTGCGTGCTTTCCTCATTGCATATCCCCCAACAGGTCCTTCACCTCCTGTAGCAGACCTTGTTATAGCCACAGCAGATTTTCAAAGGGACCTTGCCAGCTGGCACATCAGGTAATGTTGATTTTGTTGCTACTACTATTATTAAAACTTTATAATAATACTATGTTCGCATGGTTCTAACACATTTTTTATTATCTCAGTTATGTTAAAGGTGGAGTTGATGCAAAAGAATTGTTCCACCTATACATTATGCTGTGGATTCAAAATAAACGCGGTTCTTTGCTTGAAGCATGCAAACTAGACAAGGTAAGTGTTATATATATAATCCTTAAGCATGGATACTTTTGGATTCTATGGAGATAAAACAATTTGATTACGCTAATGTATCACAAATGAGTCTGTATTCTATTTTGTGGGTGGTCATTAACATTTTTACCCCCACCATTTTGGAGGACTATGTTAAAGGATGCTTTTGAAAGATTTCTGTAATTATGTAAATTGGTGTACGTTTTAACGTTGCAGTTAAAAAAGGCATCTAAATGTTATTCACTTGCAGGTAAAATGGTCAGGAGTTAGGACACAACATTCCACGACTCCTTTTGTGGATGAAATGTATGATCGTCTGAAAGAGACTTTGAGTGACTATGAGATCATCATTTGCCGGTGGCCTGAATATGCCTGCATTCTGGAGAATGTAAGTCAGATTCCTTGTGTCTCAAAATCTTTATAATCTACTTTCGTATTTTTCATCACCCTCATCCATTATGATCCCAACAATTTATTGTTCGTCCGCACATTTCTATATTCAGAGCTATTCATTTAGCTTATCAGAAATAGGAAAATGCTAGTTAGTCTTATCTTACAACAGTGTTGTTCGTCCGCACATTTCTATATTCAGTTCATAATAAATAATCTTTTCCTTAATTTCTTAAGTTTTGTCATGTTTTTACTTTTCTTGTTTTAATTTAAAGAGTGAACTTCTTAAACTTGTTTGATAATTTCAACTGTGTTTCTATGAAAGGCTGTTGCTGATGTTGAGAAGGCGATACTAGAATCTCTAGACAAGCAGTATGCAGATATCCTGGCACCATTGAAGGAAAATTTGGCACCCAAGAAATTTGGCCTCAAGTATGTTCAAAAACTTGCCAAAAGGTCTGTGAGCTCTTATACCGTCCCTGAAGAGGTTAGTTGACTTTTCCAAATTTTTGGGTTAGATTGAAATATGATTGTTTGTATTTTGAAATTCGATAATTGCATTTCAGTTGGGAATTCTGTTAAATTCCTTAAAGAGAATGCTTGATGTCCTTCGGCCCCAAATAGAAGTTCAGTTCAAATCATGGGGTTCCTGCATCCCTGATGGTGGAAACACAGTTGCTGGAGAGCGTCTCAGTGAAGTTACTGTGATGTTGAGAGCCAAGTTTAAAAATTACCTACAAGCAGTTGTGGAAAAACTTGCAGAGAATGTGAGTATCATTCTGGTTTGGTGCATTTCTGTTTGAAGTTGTGTGAAAGTGTTGTAAAATTATGTATGGAGAAAAAATAATTGATCTGGAGATCATAAAAAACTGTCAGTCTTGTTGAGGGAATACATTAACTGTCAATCTTTCACGAAATAATTAATTGATCTGGAGATCTTCTAAATATAAATAGATGCATCTGCAGGGACAACGTGTTTGCTAGGGATAATAGTTTTGTTGAGTGGATATATAATATAAACTGCCAATCTTTCATAATGTACAGAACGCCTTATTTGTCCTTAAAGAATAATAAAAGCCAGGTAAGGAGGTCTATCTCATACAGTAGTGTGTATTTATGCATGTTCTGTGTGCGTTTATGAGACTAGATTCTAGTGTATAAAGATCTCAGTTGCTGGTACATTAGTGTGTAAAGAGCTGAATAACTGGTCCTCTTGGCCAAGAAAAAGAATTACTTGGCGAAGCAAAAGAATATGGATGCTTTAAAATTTAGTTATTTGGTAAAGGGCCACTGATTTTCATCTTTTATTCCAGACAAAGTTGCAGAGTTCTACAAAAATGAAGAAGATTCTCCAAGATTCAAAAGAAACTGTGGTAGAATCTGATGTGAGAAGTAGAATGCAGCTTTTGAAAGACCAGCTGGCAAATACAGTCAATCACTTACATACAGTGTTTGGGACTCACGTCTTCATTGCAATTTGTCGAGGTTATTGGGACAGAATGGGACAAGTAAGTTCTTCAATCTAATCTTTCAAGAATCCAGACAATGGGCTCCTGGCTGATGGCTTTTCTTATCTAATGGAACCCTTTTCTGTTACAGGATGTGCTGAGTTTCTTAGAGAACAGAAAAGAAAATAGATCATGGTATAAGGGTTCACGAATTGCTGTCTCTGTAAGTAGTGGCTGAACCCCTTCAACCTCCCACCTTTTTTTCTTCTGGTTATGGTAGTAGTTTCCCTTCTAATTGCACGCCTTTCTTCGGGTTTCAGATTCTAGACGACACTTTTGCATCACAGATGCAGCAGTTGTTGGGGAATGCACTGCAGGAGAAGGACCTGGAGCCTCCTCGATCCATCATGGAAGTCCGATCAATGCTTTGCAAGGATGCTGCCAATCACAAGGACAACACCTATTACTTTTAGGTGCTTGTTGTGTTAAATGAGTGGAGGACATGGAATGCATCATCAAGAAAGGTGAATGCTGAACAAGTTGGGGAATGGAGGTGCTGAAAGATCAGCTTTTCAGCCTGCATGTTCATCAACACCATATTGCTTTAGTTGTCAATGTGTATAAGCCGGTTGCTGCTAATTTTGTAGAGGGAGCAAGCAACTCGGCTGCTCCTGAGTCACAATTCTGTTATGTTCACATTTATTACTCAAGATATAGGTACTGCAAAATTGATTCACATTTTTTTGTAATTGGCATAATAGTTTTGCTTTAAGCAGTTTTGTACAACTCTTTTGAATGTGCTGTGAACTCACGCACCAAAAATATTAGATGGTCCACTTTCACAGAGATTATATTATTTAACCCTTCATGCGATGCATCTATTAAAAAATTATATATATTCTTTCATTTGCGCTACCGATCAAGCAACCTTGAATTCACTTTTGTTCTATAATTTCACTATAATTTCCAATGTATAGAACCTATACACAAACCAAAAAAAAAAAAAAAAAAAAAAAAAAAAAAAAAAAAAAAAAAAAAAAAAACACCCGACATGGTTTGAAGTTAAATCTTAAACTGATAATTATGTCAGAAAAACATCAAAGTCGTAAATTGGCTTTCTTTCATTGGCTATGTTAGGATGCCAATTAATAGTAAATAGTATTGGCTCGACAAGGCTGGATCAAGACCCTGAAAATAGCAATAGACACACTTAGGTCAACTGCAATTACAGATTTAGCCAATCACCAGTCACTGACACTTAGGTCACCAGGGCAGGGAAGAAAAATTCTGTTTATTGAAGAGAAGTTCCAGAATCAGATTGGATCCTAAGCTCCCATAGCATAACAGCTGAAGCACATACTAGCACAACGGTTTAAAAGAAGGGGCTTCACAACTTAAACGGAGCCCTACAATCCTATAGTGAATGACTGAATTCAAGCTTTCATAAAAACTTGACCTACAAAACCTGGTGAACTTGTGAGTGTCCAGATACATGAACAGCAGAAAACTCCAAGCCGCACTTACATTACTTGTATCTCACTTTGTCGAATATGCTCAAAACAGCTTATACGAAGACGAAGTCATGCATTATAGACATTTCAACTATAACTCACTCCTTCACCTCTTACAACCTCACCGATGCGGTAAGCTTTATAAGCCCCATTTCCATCCTCAAGTATCCTGTGGGATGCCTCTTTACTCACAACAAGAACCATGCCAATACCCATGTTAAATGTTCGCATCATCTCAGCTTCTTCTACTCTTCCCGCCTGGTGTTAGAAATAGGTAAAATCAGAAAACAACTACAATCCATAATTTCAAGATGCCTCCTAAAGGACATTCATCGAATATGAAAATTTATAAATTTAAAATTAGGATTCTGGATGAAAAATATTTTTACCTCTTGGATCCATTTGAAAACAGGTAGGATTTCCCAGGAACCGTTATAGATGACAGCTCCTAGGCCCTTTGGAAACACTCGAGGTATATTGTCTGTGAAACCACCCCCTGTGATGTGGGCTACCCCCTTTACACCTCCCTTGCTGATAATGTCAAGCACCTGTTTTTGGTGCAGGGAAAAATAAGGAGGGGAGCATTTTCAGCAAACACAAGATAATGAGCATATGCACAAGACAAGGAGATTGGGAAGCAGGATTTAATGTTGACCTGCTTAACGTATATCATGGTTGGGGCCATCAAAGCTTCACCTAATGTAATAGCTTCACCAGGTAGTTGGTCCTTCAGAGATAGCCCACTATGAGCCAGTACCCTGTCAAGATATACCAATAGGAATTTTGTCATGAGTTTCTAAAGGGTCAGACTGCAAGGAACATTCTTCAAGTTAACTGCATCTATTGCAAATAGTATATAATGTTTTCTAAGCAGCACCAACCTTCTTACAAGAGAGAAACCATTAGAATGAACCCCACTGGAAGGTAGGCCAATGAGGACATCCCCAGCCACAATGTTTTTCCCATCAATCACTGAATCCTTTTTCACAATTCCAACCGCAAAACCACTGAGGTCATACTCTCCGTCTGCGTAAAAATCTGGCATCTCTGCAGTCTGACGTAATATATGCAATTCAGTGAGTCCTACCTTATCAAAATATGTACAACATGTGTGTGCAAAAAATAAAAGCAAAGACTATATTTAAACAATTAACCGCAAGAATACACGCTTGATGTATGTCTTCTCCAGATCACAGGACAATGGCAATTCACAAAACAACAAAATCATTTTAGAATACCTCTCCACCTAAAAGAGTACAGTCAGATTGTTGGCAGCCATCGACAATACCTTTTACAACCTAGAAACAATAAAACAAAATTTCAAAAAGCTTCAATTAGTGGTATGAATTTACGCAATCAAAGCAACTTTTAGGCACACTGCGACCTCTACCTTTTCAGCAAGATCAACATCAAGCCGGCTGGTAGCAAAATAATCAAGGAAAAATAGCGGCTTTGCTCCAGAAGTAACAATATCATTGACACTCATAGCAACCTGGGAGTTGAAATTGATCAGAAGAGCAATTTTGATTTATTTATTTAATGACACATGTGCACCACATGAAGTTTCACTTGAAACATTAGCATTACCAAATCAATACCAATGGTTTCATGAATTCCAGTATCAAATGCAAGTTTAAGTTTTGTTCCAACACCATCTGTACCAGCAACAAGATATGAATCACCTGTTCACCAAAAAACTCCATCAGCCCAAGTAAACAAAATTCAAACAAACAGAGCACAACCCAAAATGGGTAACACAAAAACACAATCAGCTAACAATATATTCAATACCAAGAGGGTAAAGACCCCCAAAGCCTCCAATCCCAGGAGCCATTTTGGCAATTCGTCGAACAAGTTCTGAGCCAGCATCTATATCAACACCAGCATCCTTATACGTCAAACCACCATTTCCACTTGCACTTTCTCCGGACTCGTTCTTCGACAGTGAAAATATGCGTCTGCTGCGGGAAAATTCAGTTGATGGAGCCATAGATAGGCCGGAGAAGGTGTTGGAGAGAGACCCAGATGAGAGTCTGCATAGCTGGGTTTGGCTGGAGTTGGGTTTGGAATAAGAGGGTCTGAGAGAAGAAGCAAAGCAACGAGAGAGCTCTGTGTTTGGGTTGACGGAGGTGACCATGGCAGCAAGTGAAAGAGGCCCTGAGGCAGTGTGTCACTGACTTGCTGCTGGGTTTTGCCGGAGAGTGACGGAGCTGAGAAAGAGAGAGAAAGGGGCGGGAATAAAGTAGGAAGCTAGGGTTTTTGTTTATGTAAATACGTTGACGAGTGATTATTTAGTTAGGATTTTGGTTTCTTATTTCATTAGAATTTTGGTTACTTATTAATTATTATTTAGTCCTATTGTAATAGAGATTTACTTCCTATTGTAATTTAGATATATTTCATATTTTATTTAGAATTAACACATCTTTGTATTTGTATAAATACCTCCATATTGAAGAAGAATAATAATATGAGCATATTAGAGCATATCTGAATATTTGCCTAACTTTGTTTGACATGGTATCGTAAATTGTGTTGCTAATTTTTTTTTGGGGGGGGTCGGATTGTGTTGCTATTTGAGTGAAACAATTATTAATTTAACTTCTATTTTTAAATAATTATTAACTTTTTATTTTTAATACAACCATACTATATATATATATATATAATTTTTTTTTCGCCAATCGTTGGGAGGGTGAGAGGGGATATCAGTTAAATTGGTTCTCTACAAATTTGTGCTAAACCACCGCAGCTGAGCCCCACTGGCATACAACCATACTATATTGGGTACAGGGGAATTGAACCTAGAATAATTATTTTCCGACTAAAAACAGAATAAATAATTATTACATATGAATTTTTAATACCAAATCAATACTGATGGGGGAGAGATAGAACTTGATATTCTAACCTTTAAAATATTGTTTTATTTATTTATTTATTTTACATATGAATTTGTTGGTATTTGCAATTGTTTTTTTTTCTTCATGACACTGGAAAAAGGCACCTAAGCTGTTCATCGATTTTGAACTAATTCATTTTAGGGATAATTCAAACGGGTCCAATTGAAGTTTTTGGTTTTTACACAAGAAAAAGGTACCTTTATTTTTGTTTTTTCTGTTAATCTGCTGCATATAATATTGCTGAACAAAGATTTGTCTACATTGCTTGAATAAGAGAAGCCTATTCTCAAACCAAAGTCGACAGAATTCCAAATCAAATGCCAACACGTTTGCAGAAACGTAGATTGAGGACATTTAGATGCTTTATGAGGTTTAACTTAAATGGTATCTTTCGTATGAATTTCTTCTACATGTTAGAGAGTGGAAGCAATACAAATTTTTTTGAATCTTGTTATGACAAAGTGGCTAAAAGTGATATGAAGTTCAAGTTCTTGCAAACATGCATCCGGTGCTCGCCAGTATTGGTGAAATTAAACTGCAGTCATGAGGGAACGAAAGCATTTCGATGCTATGTTACATAAATTTGAATTGCACTCTCCAACCAGAAGAAAATATTTACAAGATTAAATTTGATCAAGGAATCAAGCCATCTGTAGCAGGAAAAGAATGCCAGTAATGTTACAGAATTTTGGGAACACGGACGAAGCAGAGTCAGCAGTTCAAAGCACCAAATACAACAAGCAAATTCTGAGCACTAAAAACCCTATCCCCAGCAACAAACACAAATTAGAGAAGCTTTGATATAACTTGACAAGATGTCCAGAAGGCTTTCGTGGCAGCCCTTATTATTACAGGGTTTTGGTATATCCTGCAAATAATGAAAACATTAGAGGTCAAAGTACAGTATAAATGTAAATTAAGACTAAGACGTACATGAATTCTAATTATAAATTCAGCAAGCAACATGACTAGATTACGTTAGTGATCAAAGACACGCTGCACAATGATGGCGGGAAACTTTAAAACCATCAGATTAGGTAACATTGGATTTAAGTATCCTACCCGATGGCGGTTGCCCCCCATGATGCTACATTATAAATAACTTTGCTTCCATCCCAAGCCTTTCGAAGTTTTCCCTTCTTCTTTCTCACGGAGAATGTTTTGCTAAGGGCTACATAAGAAATAGGAAATGTAAGATTCCATTCCTAAAATGTGGGAAACAAACTTGGTCAAATAAAGCACAAAATGCATACAGAATAGATTTGAAGTTAAGAGAATTTTTCAAGTTCTCTTCAAACTTAGGAAGCAACACAAAAACAAGTATCAAACTCACCATCCTGAAGTTGATTAGGGGTCAATTCCTGAAAATCACACAGCAATCAATTAAAAAGAGTCAATACATCATATCTACTACATAATCCAATTTGGTGTATAAACCATGCTCAAACAACAAGAAAGGCTGCATATGCACAATCTGTTCAAATTATTTGACAATCATAGAAAGAAATTGTCGACATGTCAACTAGACATGTTAAAAATGCCAACACTAGTGCTAATGTGTTATGGTTCATCACAATAAATTCAATGGTTCCACCTCTTAATCTACTTGCATTGCTCTGCGCAGTTAATGATAGATGTAAATACTGGGAGCAAGAGAAGATGCTAAACTACGAATGCAGTGAAAGCCTGATCTCTTAAGGTCTGTCATGATCATTTGGTCATACATCAAATACCTACCTTATAAAAGAATACCAAATAGACTAAAAACAAAAGTTCTAAAGAACTCTCACTAAGCAAACTATTATTTTATGGGACTCCTATCAGGGAAAAAAAAACTATTCTTTGCAGGATGATGTTGGGCTTTAAAGCAAAAGCAAGAGCAACATACCCGCCTAACAGAGATGAGAATGTTAAGAAGACAAATGATAAGAATGGGAATGCTAAGATGATGAGTAATACGAATGACCAGAAAAGATCAAATTAAAAATATATGTATAAGAGACAGATTAAGAGTGGAACCTATTAATGGTAGAGTACAAGAAGCTAGCCTATGTGTTAGCAACACATCCATGTAACATAGAGAATAATGTTACATTGAGAGTGCCATGTATGAATGATAAGATACAAGAAACAAGGCTAATGCATAGGTGCTCTCATAACAAAAGGAAGACCAGTAATACAAAAGGATATGAACGTACTACATGCCCATGTATTGGCCATGCTGGTTAGCACTAAATATTAGACTAGGATGAAACTAGCACCAATAGTGGGGCCAAACTTTTCAATTGGCATAATTCATGTTTAACCATAACATACTGCATCACAAAAATCCACCAAGCAGGATAGAACTGTTTTTGTTTTGTTCATTTGGTTTGTAGAAAAGTAACTGGATATCGCTAAACACACAATAATCTGGTAGACAGTCATGTTGGGGTAATTTTCTATATATGTGTCGATCATAGTTGTGGTAGTATAAAATCAAATGAAGTATAATAAAATTATGTTGAGCAGAGTTTCAGGGTACCTTAGTCTGTTTAAGGGATAACAGGTATGCAGCCATAAAGCATGCAATACCCTCTACTATATCTTCTTGCCTAACAAGAACATAGTCTTCTTCACCCAAGTCACTATCCTCATCTTCCCATAGATCATTCTCATTAACCAGATCCCAAGAACTACCTTCTTCTGCTGTCATACAAGAATAGTTTAGCACGGCACCATATAAAGTCTAATCTTCATAATGCAGAAGACATATCACATGGTTATAAAATTTCATTGTGACCATATTCAGATGCATACCAGCCATATTTTGCGAAACTGATGATGCTTGCGCGCATTCTAGCTTTTCAAGGAAGTCGGGACATTCAACTCTAGATTTTAGAAGATTGCATAACTGCATCCAAATGCAAATGACATGTGAGTTAGAATATGGAAAGCCTTGATAACAAGTAGTACAGTGTCTCCCCCTTATTCATCATTACAATTCAATCGAAAAAGCAAAGTCAGCAATAAAAGGTTTCACTTGGGATTAGACTCAAGGTACCATCAGAAGTGAAATCTGAAATTTTTATTCCTACAAAAAGACATTATGCGGTGAGCTTAGAGGAATCAGTCCACCGCCACAAAGAAACCAGACAACATATTTTAGGCATTATATGGTTTTACTGAGCTAGTCGAAGCAATTGTGTTGATCATATAAAAAGCTTCATCCTTTAACCTTATAAGCAATCAGTGTCCACACTCCACACAGTTATCAAGCTCAACAATTGCCATTAATCATACTAATCAAGTACGCAATTCACCATTAATTATTGATTAAACCGGTAACAGCTCAATTGCTCTTTGCTTCAACATTTAGGAGAACAACGTCTTTAAAAAATAACCCTTAATCCCAATCTCAATCATTTAACCAAAATTTAACATTTTTCAGTATTCAATCAAAATCGAACCCTAAAATTGAGCTCAAACCCCACACGGAACCCCAATCCATACCTCGTCGGCTTCGCAGTCAGGGCGCGAACTCGTCGATCTGCGGCCTTGGTGGCGCTCATCGTCATCGACAGCACCACGAGAACTGTTATCATCATCATCGTCTTCATCCTCACCGTTATCATCTCCATCGCTGTCGCCGTCAGCACCCCCAGTGGTATCGAGCGACACGAGGGCTCTCTGGCACTGCTCGAGCACAGCCTGCAGAGTCTTCCGCTTCACGCGGAGCTTATCCTTCTGCGAATCCGCCCTCCTCAATTTCGCATCGGCCGAGGGATTCGAACCGGAGACCTCGACCTCCATCCCCAGAACAGAAAGCAAGCTCCGAAAGCCTCGAAATTTGTTATGCGATCGCCGACGAAGAAGGCCCGAGAAGGATTGGGGGTTTTTTCGAAGAGAAGAATTATTGGGGTGGGTTTTTTCTGCTTCTGCTTCAGCTGATGTTGTTGCTGGAATGGAACAACATGTGATTGATTAATGGTGTTTTTTTATTTTTGTTTTGTTGGGTTGTGTTTTTGTTTTAATAATAAAAGTGGTTTAATTAGTGTTATGATTGAATTTGGATTTGGATGGTTGGGTTGCGGGTGGGATTGGATTTTGGAAGGGAAGAAAGGACTAAATTCTTACATACATTTTGGGGCTGTTTGGTTCCGTGGAAGAGAATATCTCCCACTCGCACAGAATGACGGAACCGTTCGTTTGTTTTCTCAGTTATATTATTATTCTTTGGTTTTTGAGGTTTTCTATTCCTTAAGTTATCTATCTCTCTTGCTGTACTAGGTTTAACCCAACCCTAATCAAATATGGCCATGTCATGTATGTCACAACATCAATAGATTATATTTAATATCTACCCTAATAGAGAATGATAAACTCAATGATCTAATATGTTCTACGTTCTATTTGAGATACGGTTTTAATTATAATTATTAATATACGATTATTATTTTTAAATATTGTGAAAGTTTGGCCAATATAGAGTATTTTAATATTAATTATTTAAAAATTTAAAGTGTTTTCAATAATTATTTAAAAATTTATGTGTATATAGTTTGTTTGTTTTTTTTTAAAAAATGTGTATTTTACTATACATTTAACAATTGTACATAAATTGAAAAACCGACTAGGGTTTCAATAACTAGTATGCTAACCTCGATCAAACTACATGCCACTAAACTAATAGGTAGCTGCACATAAGTTTTAAGAGCGTCTCCTCCAGTCATGCTCTTACTTCAAAACTAAATCTTAACTAAAAAGACTATAAATACAAATTTATTTGAGAAGTTTTTTAAGTTGGATCCGGATTATACTCAACCATGTTTTTTGGTTTAAGGAGTTATATTGAATAAGAGCCAATATGAAAAAAAATTATTTATACCCTCAGGTATATAGTTCATCTAGTTTGGGTCTTGGGTTGGTCTTACACAACTAACAAAAGGAAAGAAGAACAAAGATCAATAAGCCATCTTTCATTGTGCTATTTCAATTACAGTAACTTCTCTATGTAGTTAGTTTTAGAAAAATATTATTGTGTGTGACGGTAGTACTATGTCGACATGTCAAAAATAATAGTAGCTACTAGCTTACTAGCTGATATTTTATGAAAATAATAATACCATGCATGCACGGTGTTTTGCCGTTGCACATAATAATACCATGCGGGTTACAAATGATACATAAAGATTAAAGGGTGGGCCAAAAACAGGCATCAACCCCACCATTTGCCCAAAGCTATGATTTGATTTCCAACAGAAGTCCCAGATGAGTTATACAAAGAAGAAGAGTAAAATGATGCCGTTACAGTGGGGCAATAATGAAGCCACAAGAGCTCATCTTTTTGGGTAAAGCCAAAAAAAGCTAATGGCCAAGAACACTCATTGCATCGCTGAAGATAAGGTTAATTATGTGCCGTTATAGGAAAACACTGTTTTTGTCAAAAAGTAATGCCCGCTCTACTGGATTAAAGTAAAACCAAGCAACTTTAGAACAACGTTCGAAAAACCTTGCTATAAAATCTGGTGCCGGTGAGGCTTCTTACTTCACCAACAATTATTCTTTTGAGTCTCTCTTGCCATTAGCTTTCGAGATCTGTGCTCTGCTTTAATCATATTTCCCAGTTGTTCATCTGCACTCGGCGTATTTTCCCTGTTGTATTTCCACCATCAATGGCTGAAGCACTCGTTTCCGTGGTCCTAGAGCAGTTGATTTCCATCACACGTAAACAGATAGAAGAAGAGGTGAGGCTGGTCGTGAATGTCGACCGAGAAGTTGAAAATCTCATCTTCCATTTCAATGCTATTCAAGCTGTGCTCCAGGATGCAGAGGAGAGGCAGGTGAAGGACGCCCGCGTCAAAAACTGGCTGCGGAGCCTGGAAGATGTGTCGTACGACATTAACGATCTGTTGGACGAGTGGAACACTGAAATTCTCAAGCACCAAATTGAGAAAGAAGAGAAAGAAGGTGTTGCCCTTACAAAAAGGAAGAAGGTATGCCTCTTCATTCCCTCCCCTAGGGTTTGTTGTGGTTGTGGTCCAATTGATAAAGTAGTTAGGCGTCATGACATTGCTAAGAGAATAAAAGAAACACATGAAAAGTTAACTGATATAGCCAATTCAAAACAAAATTATAACTTTCATGAGAACACAATTAGAGCCACTGAGAAACTTGAACGGGTTGAAACTTCTTCTTTTGTCCAAGTGTCTAGTATAATTGGTCGTGAAGAGGAGAAAAAAAGATTAGTAAGCATGTTGTTAAGCGAGAGCAGTCAACAAGGGAGGAGCCCATTTGTTGTGATCCCCATTGTGGGGATGGGAGGATTAGGAAAAACTGCATTTGCCCAGTTAGTCTATAATGATGATGAAATTATAAAAACTCAGTTTGACACTAGAATATGGGTTTGTGTGTCAGATCCTTTTGAAGAGATCAAGATTGCCAGAGCCATTGCTCAAGCTCTAAATAAAGATGATAATCGAATTAATTCAACTAGTTTGCAACCTTTGTTGGAATGTATAAATGAATATATTAGTGGTAAAAGGTTTTTCCTTGCTCTAGATGATGTGTGGAATCCAACCATTGATAATTGGGGAACATTAATGGGAGCTTTACAAAATAGTGCTATAGGCAGTAGAATATTGGTGACCACACGAAAAGAGACGGTTGCTGCTGTGATGGGAGCCACCGCTGATCACGTAATCCATTTGAACATCTTGAGTGATCAAGATTGTTTGCAATTATTCAATAAAATTGCCTTCCTTAATAGAGAAAGAGATGATCAGCTTGAAGAGATTGGGAGAAAAATTGTAAAAAAGTGCAATGGTTTGCCTCTTGCTGCAAAGACCTTAGCTAGTCTCATGCGATATAAGAAAACCAGAAAAGAATGGGTAGATGTTTTGGATAATAAGATATGGGAGTTAGAAGAAGTGGAACAACAGGTTTTTCGATCACTATTCCTAAGTTATTATGAGTTGAGTCCGGCAGTCAGACAATGTCTTTTATTTTGTGCTGTTTTTCCAAAAGATTATGAGTTTGATATAAATGAGTTGATTGAGTGTTGGATGTCACAAGAATATCTTAGTATGAAAGGAGATAAAGAAAAAGAAAGAATGATAGGCCAACAGTACTTTGATAACTTAGTGACGCGTTCTTTTTTCCAAGATTTTGTTAAAGGCAGAATGGATGATGATATTATAGGCTGCAAAATGCATGATATTGTGCATGACTTTGTACAGTTTCTCACCAAAAATGAATGTTTTATTATGGAGGTGGTGGAAAGTGGTAAAGAGAAAAACATGGTAGTCGATAATAAGGTTCGTCATTTGAACATAATGTCAACATACAATGATTCCTTTCCTGTTTCAATCTACAATAATTGCAAAGGATTACGGACTCTGGTAATTTCTACTTGGAAACTTCCTCCGTTACCCTCGGACTCATTTTCAAAATTGAAAAGCATTAGAACATTAAAGTTGAATGAAAACTCAATCAAAGAAGTTCCCGAAAGTATTGGTGGACTAGTACATTTGCGGTATCTCGATTTAAGTGGGAATCATGAATTGAAAGAATTACCCGATTCTGTGGGTAATTTATTCAATCTGGAAACATTGCGTCTCATATACTGCTATGGACTCAGAGAAGTACCGGTGAGCATAAGAAAGTTGGTTAACTTAAAGCATCTTTATATTTCGGGGTGCGAAAGGCTAAAATTACCAAAAGAGATTGGAAGATTAAGAAATCTGCAAATCTTAGATTACTTGTGTGTTCAAGACGGTGGCGAGGATGATGAAGGAATTTTGAAGTTAGGGGATTTGGGAAACTTGGAGCAGCTTCAAGGGAGCCTTTACATAGGAAACTTGAAGTCAGCGAAAGATGGGAGTGAGGCTAAAAATGCAGAATTGGTGAACAAGAAGAACCTCCTTCATTTGGGACTAGATTTTGGGCACGACTATAGAGAGAGAGAGGCGGATTTAAAGGATGAAGAAATACTGAATGGCTTTCAAGTGCATACAAATCTGGAGTCGTTGGCTATCATTGCGTACCACAGTACCAACCTGTGTCCAAGTTGGATGATGAGCTGTCATAATCTGAGAAGGCTTGAATTCTATGATGTTCCATTTTGTGGGGTTTTGGCTCCTCTGGGGAAACTCCCGTCCCTTGAATATTTAGAGATAAGAGAGATGGAGAGTGTGAAAAAGGTGGGAGTTGAATTTTTGGGAATAACAGGCGAAACACCGCAAACATTAATAAACTCGTTTCCGAAATTGAAACAACTTCAATTTATAGACATGGTGCAGTGGGAAGAATGGGAAGGAGTAGAAGAAGAGGATTCTAAAATTACAATAATGCCATCTCTTTTGAAGTTAGAAATCATCGACTGTATAAAGCTGAAAGCACTGCCGAACTTCCTTTGGAAGACCCCGCTGCGAGAATTAATCATCGTCGGAGGGGATGGTCTTGCACAATGGTTCGAGACGAGATGTGGAATGGAGTGGTTGAAAAATGCGTCTCAAGTCCAAAACATCAAAATTCAGCGCAAGTTTGTGAAAAAAGACGGAGTTGGAATGTTGGAGGAGGATTGATGATGGGCTCTGCCTGCCTGCCTATCTGATCCACCTCTTGGGCTAAAATGGTAATTTTGAACACCTTCCTTGCAATTCTTTAATTTTATTTAAGTTTCTAGTTGCTTGCTACCATCTTCAGATTTACTTATTTTCTTTAAATTAGTAACTATGATAATTGTTATAAATAAATACAAAGGAGGAATTTAAATTAATTTATTGCATTTCTTTTCAATTGGTTAACTATATGCTAATTATTCATTCATTTTATAAAATACAACATATGTTACCAGAATTTGAATTTGAATTATATATCCAGCTTAATTAGTGTGAAATTTCCATAAATTGTAGGTATAAACACGTTCCTTGGGTTTCCTTAATGAGTTTTGATCATTCCTTTGGAGAGTCAACACAGCCCTTGGGTCCTTACCAAGTCGTCTCTCCAGATGCACCTATGTATCTAGTATGTTTCTTTAATTGACTTGGTAGCTGCCCTTGTTCCAATTCGAGCAAGTCTAATCTCTGCTATATTATATATCCTCATTTGATTTCAATTCATCATGTTTACCTCCTAGTCCTAGTGTTTTATGCCATTTTGTTATGCAGGGTCTTTACTTGGGACAATAACCTGGTGCAAATCATGGATGCATGGATGTCATCTCCTCAGTCCTCACAAGGGTCACCTTTACTTTCTGTGGCTGCGGATCTTTCTGGTTTATTTATCTATTCCGAAAGTTTTCCTTCTTCTTCCCGACCTTTTTCTATCCAGTTATATGCTCAATATTTGTTGTCATTTTTTTATGGCCCTGAAATATGGAAGAAACTGAACATGAATTGATCAAATTCTTTCAGGTCCGGCGAACTTGACACATCTGAGCTTTAGAAGAAACGATGCAGTTCTTCACATGGAATTAGTAGCTTCGGTTGCGGTAATTAACTTGATCAAGATGGAATTGGACAGAGTCAGAGTGTCATGAGATCCATATAAGACTAGTTCATCTCCAAGGTATCTTTGCCTCAAATTGTACAAATTGAGAATATCAACTTTATTTTTTCCTGTCACAACTATTTGATTTACATCTGTTTAAGGTTCTGTTTTGAAAGTGTAATCACATTCAAATCCAATTGAATTTCTCATTAACTTGACCTTGCAGTGTCTACAACTACTGCCATGTTTGTGGAGACTCTATTAAGTGGAAATTACTTCAGTTTTTTTAATGCACCTGCAAAACATTTCTGCAGGAGCAGCAGCTTTGCGAATTGTGCTAGGATCGTTGCCTCTCAATTAAGAGGCGCATGTGGAGTTGGTTTGATCACTTTGCTCAAACAAAGAATTGACGTTGCTAAAGCAAAGAAGTTAGTTTGCTCAATCAAGAAAAGTGGTAGGGAACGTTCTGCAGAAAAGTCAATAAGCGGATGCATAGGTGCTCCGGTGACATTTTCCAGTCCAGAGGGCACGATTACATGTCGTTGCAAAGCCGCTCGAGCCACGCCAATGTAGTTTTTGTTTCTAAGTTGCATACTTGATTTTGGAGCTCTTTTTAGTCTCTCCACCCCTGTTTCTCTCTAATTGTGTCTGGTAAGACCGCTACTACAGTGGATAGGATTTTGATTGGTAAGTAAATATTGCAAGGTAATATTTTTGGAATTTGGAACCAAACTGGTCTTTCAAGCCTTCTTTATTAAATTAGATTCATGAAATAGTTTTGTCACTCTATTTGTATTCACGGTTTTAAAAATCTGAGGTCCTTCGGATTGTGTGCAGAATCAACAGATGCTGTGATAAAGAACACTATCACCACAACCTGCAGTGGCTATGCGAGCCCTCAGCATGGTCCATCCTTCCCATGAGCTATACGCTTTGAAGGTTGGAATCTCCTTTGCTTTGGATGCTTCTTGTGTGCCTCTTGTGGTGGAATCTGACTCTTTGACAGCAGTTCAAATGATTAACATTGATGAGGAGTGCTTGCATCAAAAGGGGTTTTGGTGGATGAGATTCATCGCCCAACTGAAATGAGAGACCCCAAACTATTGTTCAGTATGTTGATCGTAAAGCTAATGGAACTGCTCACCAAATTCCTCAGTTTAGTCCTCGTGAAAGTGGACTCTTGTTTTGGATGGATGAGGGGCCTCTCTGGCTCATGGATTAATTGCATTCAATATGATTGTCCTGCTCCGCATTCCTTTCCTTGATTTTCTTGTAATTTCTTGGCATGTGTGGTACTCTTTCCTACTCCGAAGTTTTGTCCCATGTGGTTTTCTTCGGAAAGGTTTTAACGAGGCCACTCTATTGCATGCTAACTCTATTGTTCTTGATTATTTGAATGAATTATCGTTTGCCTTTAAAAAAAGAATTTCAAGTGATTGAGCTTTTAGTTATGCAAGGTGACGCCAAAAGACATTACAAAGGTTCAAATTGGTGTTTATTTAGTGTTTGGACCTTTTTGCCCCCATGAAAATAACCAAGAAAAAGGAAACGTGAATAAAATAACCACCTTTTAAATTTCCATTTGAGCCAATGTCCAATATGCTTTAAAATGTCCATTCTAAACCCCGTACAGAAAATTGGCAACGTTTCATTTGATTGACATTGGAGAATCCCGTTTTCTCAATCCCATTCTTGGAGCATGCCAAACTTAACAAACCCTCATTGTCAATTGAAGTTAAGCTAAAGCCAATAGTGACCTTTAAAAAAAATTATATTATATTAAAATTAAAGATGCTATCTTGGTAGATAGATGATGATTTACTTTGTTTTAGCTGTTTAAAAGGAGATATTGGTAATTGGCCATTTTGTACTTTGGAACTGGGATATACTACTATCCAATAAGGGGCCACTTTTCGAATTATGTGGCCTGGACTTTTATGTGCCCATTGATTACAAGTTTACAACCAGGAGAAAGAAGAGCACATTGAGATGGCCGAATGTTATTAATTTACTCATGTTATAATATCTGTAGTTGTTTATTTATTTTAAATTTTATAATGTCATAACATATCAAATTTGTCGATTGCATATAGACCATTATGTGTCTGTATATATAGTCACACCCCAAAATTTCTCCAGAAATGGCTGGAGCTTATGCTAGCAGAAAAATATAGGAAGTCTCATATTTAATTAAGCTAATCATTCTTAAGTTGTGAAGAAAACACTCTAGACAACATTAACATGTTCACAATAAAACCAATGCATGACAATCTCCATATGGGGACGCTTTTGCTTCTCCATAACATTTGCCATCAACATTAATAAACGCACAATAAACCCAAAACGTAAGAGTTTCCTTTATTTTTTTCTTATCAAAGTTTAGACTTGTAGGACTTGATTGCTAAGAGCAGTTCCAGCAGCTCTACCTGCTCATATGGAGATTGAAAAAATAACAAGAAGTTCATAATATTATTTTATACATACCTAGCATTTTTTATTTTTAATATCATACATATAAATAAGATTAATCACATGTGAATAGTAATTGCCCTTGGGTTGCCATGGCAATAGGTGGAAAAGCAACAAAATTATTGCTAAGACATAAACTAAAATATGGGTTTGTGTATCAGACCCTTTTGAAGAGATCAAGATTGCCAAAGCCATTGTTGAAGTGCTAAACAATGGTGATAATCGAATTAATTCAACTAGTTTGCAACCTTTGTTGGAATGTATAAATGAATATATTAGTGGTAAAAAGTTTTTCCTTGTTCTAGATGATGTGTGGAATCCAACCATTGATAATTGGGATCCATTAATGGGAGCTTTACAAAATAGTGCTATAGGCAGTAGAATATTGGTGACCACACGAAAAGAGACTGTTGCTGCTGTGATTGGAGCAACCGCTGATCACATAATCCGTTTGAACATCTTGAGTGATCAAGATTGTTTGCAATTATTCAATAAAATTGCCTTCTTTGATAGAGAACGAGATGATCAACTTGAAGTTATTGGGAAAAAAATTGTTAAAAAGTGCAATGGTTTGCCTCTTGCTGCAAAGACTTTAGCTAGTCTTATGCGATATAAGAAAAACAGACAAGAATGGCTGGATGTTTTGGATAGTAAGATATGGGATTTAAAAGAGGTTGAACAACAGGTTTTTCGATCCCTATTCCTAAGTTATTATGAGTTGACTCCGGCAATTAGACGTTGTCTTTTATATTGTGCCACTTTTCCGAAAGATTATGAGTTTGATAAGTTGATATTGATTAAGTTGTGGATGTCAAATAACTATCTTAGTACGGAAGGAGATAAAGAAAAAGAAACACTAATAGGTGAAAGCTATTTTGATAACTTAGTAATGCGGTCTTTCTTTCAAGATTTTGTTAAAGATCAGGAAGACAATATTTGGAAGTGCTCTAAAATGCATGATATTGCAAAATGCGAATCGGGTCAAAATTCAGGGGCCATTGAACCTAAAAACCCACCTGTTAATCTATGTGCAGGTGCACAGTTAATGACAGGTGTAAATACTGGCAGCGAGAGAAGACGGTAAACTACAAATCCAGTAAAAGCCTGATCTCTTCAGGTCTGTCATGGTCATTAGGTCATACATCAAATACCAACCTACCTTATAATAGAATACCAAATCTCCCATCCTGCTAAGCAAACTATTTTTTATGGGACTCCTATCAGAAAAAACCAAAAACTATTCTTCACAGGATGATATTGGGTTTTAAAGCAAAAGTAAGAGCAACACACCAACCTAACAGAGATGAGAATGTTAAGAAGTCAACTGATAAGAATGGGAATGCTAAGATGATGAGTAATACGAATGACCATAAGAGATCAAATTTAAAATATATGTATAAGAGAAAGATCAAGAGTGGAACCTATTAATTGTAAAGTGCAAGCCTATGTATTAGCAACGCATTTATGTAACATAAAGAATCATGCATAGGTGCTCTCATAACAAAAGGATGACCAGTAATACAAAAGGATATGGACGTACTACATGGCCATGTATTGGCCATGCAGGTTCGCACTAAATATTAGACAAGGATGAAACACCAAGAGTGGTGCCAAACTTTTCAATTGGCATAATTCATGTTTAACCATAACATACTGCATCACAAAAATCAACCAAGCAGGATAGACCCTGGATTTTTTTTTTGTTTTTTTGTTCATTTGGTTTGTAGAAAATAAAATGTATGGCTTCCACATACAATATTCTGGTAGACAGTTATGTTAGGGTAATTTTCTATATATGCGTCAATCATACTTGTGGTAGTATAAAATCAAATGAAGTCTAATAAAATTATGCTGAGTAGAGTTTCAGGGTACCTTAGTCTGTTTAAGGGAAAAATGCAGCCATAAAGCATGCAATACCCTCTACTATATCTTCTTGCCTAAGAAGAACATAGTTCTTCATCCAAGTTGCTTTCCTCATCTTCCCATAGATCATTCTCATTAGACAGATCCCAAGCACTGCCTTCTTCTGCTGCCATACAAGAATAGTTTAGCACAGCACCATATAGAGAACATAGTCAAGAAGAAATCTAAAAAGCCTAATCTTCATAATGCAGAAGACATATCACATGGTTATAAAATTTCATTGCGACCATTTTCAAATTCATACCAGCCATATTTAGGGGAACTGAGGCTTGTGCACATTCTAGCTTTTGAAGGAAGTCGGGGCATTCAACTCTAGATTTTCAAATGCATACCAGCCATATTTAGTAAAATGATGCCACATGCACCTCACATTAATATTTTTATCCTTCATATTTTGTTTTTTGATTTATTATTCAGACAGCATGCCATATTAACCCCTTGTTGTAAATGTAAGTTGATTTTCCTGATGATTTCTTGCATATTAATAATTCCTCTTTTTTGGGTTGTTCATTCCTCTTTTTTTGGCAGCAGTGAAGCTAGCACCCACTCACCCTTCTTGTTGCTACCCATGAAGTTGGAAATCGCATCAGAGCAGACCAGTACAGTCCAAAATTAAACATTTAAAAAACTATTGAACCGTTGGTAGTAACATTGGGAGCAAAAAACATGTAAACAACTTGCAAGTTGGAGAATAAAAAACATTGGGAGAATAAACTCTGACCGAAGAAAACTGGATTAGGGACCTTTTAAAAACAATTGGACCGTTGGTAGTAACATGGTAAAACGGTCAAATTAGTAAAATAAAAAAGAAAAACAAAAAACAAAATAATGTTACCTTCGTGAAATTTGTTATAAAAACCAGGGCTGGCAGTGAGGATTATTACTTCACCAAGCATTTTTCAGTCTTGCTACTAGCTTTCGAGCGCTGCTTAGATCATATTTCCTGGTTGTTTGGTCAAGAATCATATACTCCCACCTGTGCCATTTGGATTTCATATTGTCCCCTTCGTTTTTCTACTACCTTTCTGTTTCTAACGCCAACATTACATCAATGGCTGAAGCACTCGTTTCCGTGGTCCTAGAGCAGTTGATTTCCATCGCACGTAAACAGATAGGAGAAGAGGTGAGGCTGGTCGTGAATGTTGACAGAGAAGTTGAAAATCTCATCAACCATTTCAATGCTATTCAAGCTGTGCTCCAGGATGCAGAGGAGAGGCAGGTGAAGGAGGCCCGTGTCAGAAACTGGCTGCGGAGTCTGGAAGATGTGTCGTACGACATTAACGATCTGTTGGACGAGTGGAACACTGAAATTCTCAAGCAACAAATTGAGAAAGAAGAGAAAGAAGGTGTTGCCCTTACAAAAAGGAAGAAGGTATGCCTCTTCATTCCCTCCCCTAGTGTTTGTTGTGGTTGTGGTCCAATTGATAAAGTAGTTAGGCGTCATGACATTGCTAAGAGAATAAAAGAAACACATGAAAAGTTAACTGATATAGCCAATTCAAAACAAAATTATAACTTTCATGAGAACACAATTAGAGCCACTGAGAAACTTGAACGGGTTGAAACTTCTTCTTTTGTCCAAGTGTCTAGTATAATTGGTCGTGAAGAAGAGAAAAATAGATTAATGAGCATGTTGTTAAGTGAGAGTAGTCAACAAGGGCGGAGTCCATTTGTTGTGATCCCCATTGTGGGGATGGGAGGATTAGGTAAAACTGCCTTTGCCCAGTTAGTCTATAATGATGAAGATATAAAATCTCATTTTGACACTAGAATATGGGTGTGTGTGTCAGACCCTTTTGAAGAGATCAAGATTGCCAGAGCCATTGCTCAAGCTCTAAATAATGGTGATGATCGAATTAATTCAACTAGTTTGCAACCTTTGTTGGAATGTATAAATGAATATATTAGTGGTAAAAAGTTTTTCCTTGTTCTAGATGATGTGTGGACTCCAACCATTGATAATTGGGAACCATTAATGGGAGCTTTACAAAATAGTGCTATAGGCAGTAGAATATTGGTGACCACGAGAAAAGACACGGTTGCTACTGTGACTGGAGCAGCCGCTGATCACGTAATCCATTTGAACATCTTGAGTGATCAAGATTGTTTGCAATTATTCAATAAAATTGCCTTCCTTAATAGAGAAAGAGATGATCAGCTTGAAGAGATTGGGAGAAAAATTGTAAAAAAGTGCAATGGTTTGCCTCTTGCTGCAAAGACCTTAGCTAGTCTCATGCGATATAAGAAAACCAGAAAAGAATGGGTAGATGTTTTGGATAATAAGATATGGGAGTTAGAAGAAGTTGAACAACAGGTTTTTCGATCACTATTCCTAAGTTATTATGAGTTGAGTCCGGCAGTCAGACAATGTCTTTTATTTTGTGCTGTTTTCCCAAAAGATTATGAGTTTGATATAAATGAGTTGATTGAGTGTTGGATGTCACAAGAATATCTTAGTATGAAAGGAGATAAAGAAAAAGAAAGAATGATAGGCCAACAGTACTTTGATAACTTAGTGACGCGTTCTTTTTTCCAAGATTTTGTTAAAGGCATAATGGATGATGATATTATAGGCTGCAAAATGCATGATATTGTGCATGACTTTGTACAGTTTCTCACCAAAAATGAATGTTTTATTATGGAGGTGGTGGAAAGTGGTAAAGAGAAAAACATGGTAGTCGATAATAAGGTTCGTCATTTGAACATAATGTCAACATACAATGATTCCTTTCCTGTTTCAATCTACAATAATTGCAAAGGATTACGGACTCTGCTAATTTCTAGTTCGAAACTTCCGCCGTTACCCTCGGACTCATTTTCAAAATTGAAAAGCATTAGAACATTAAAGTTGAAAGGAAACTCAATCAAAGAAGTTCCCGAAAGTATTGGTGGACTAGTACATTTGCGGTATCTCGATTTAAGTAGGAATCCATTGAAAGAATTACCCGATTCTGTGGGTAATTTATTCAATCTGGAAACATTGCGTCTCATGTACTGCCATGGACTCAGAGAACTACCGGTGAGCTTAAGAAAGTTGGTTAACTTAAAGCATCTTTATATTGGGGAGTGCTATGAGCTAAAATTACCAAAAGAGATTGGAAGATTAAGAAATCTGCAAATCTTAGATTACTTGTGTGTTCAAGACGGTGGCGAGGATGATGAAGGAATTTTCAAGTTAGGGGATTTGGGAAACTTGGAGCAGCTTCAGGAGAGCCTTTTGATAGGAAACTTGAAGTCAGCGAAAGATGGGAGTGAGGCTAAAAATGCAGAATTGGTGAACAAGAAGAACCTCCTTCATTTGACTCTAGATTTTGGGCACAACTTTAGAGAGAGAGAGCCGGATTTAAAGGATGAAGAAATACTGAATGGCTTTCAAGTGCATACAAATCTGGAGTCGTTAACTATCATTGCGTACCTCAGTACCACCCTGTGTCCCAGTTGGATGATGAGCTGTCATAATCTGAGAAGGCTTGAATTCTATGTTGTTCCATTTTGTGGGGTTTTGGCTCCTCTGGGGAAACTCCCGTCCCTTGAATATTTAGAGATGGGTTGGATGAAGAGTGTGAAAAAGGTGGGAGTTGAATTTTTGGGAATAACGGGCGAAACACCGCAAATATTAATAAACTCGTTTCCGAAATTGAAACAACTCCAACTTCGACACATGTGGGAGTGGGAAGACTGGGAAGGAGTAGAAGAAGAGGATTCTAAAATTACAATAATGCCATCTCTTTTGAAGTTAGAAATCATCAACTGTATAAAGCTGAAAGCACTGCCGAACTTCCTTTGGAAGACCCCGCTGCGAGAATTAATCATCGTCGGAGGGGATTGTCCGATTCTTGCACAATGGTTCGAGACGAGATGTGGAATGGAGTGGTTGAAAAATGCGTCTCAAGTCCAAAACATCAAAATTCAGGGCAAGTTTGTGAAAAAAGACGGAGTTGGAATGTTGGAGGAGGATTGATGATGGGCTCTGCCTGCCTGCCTATCTGATCCACCTCTTGGGCTAAAATGGTAATTTTGAACACCTTCCTTGCAATTCTTTAATTTTATTTAAGTTTATGGTTGCTTGCTACCATCTTCAGATTTACGTATTTTCTTAAAATTAAAATATCAACAACTCTCCGAATCTCAACAACTCTTTATCCAAGAAACTTCACCTAATTTTTCTTATTTTCTATTTTTGGTTTTTATCACTCTTGGTCTCACTAAACTATTTCTACGATGGGAAGCATTGACAGGGAAGAAGCAAAAGTGGATCTTAACCAATCTCTGTTAGCAGAACCATCTCAAGCCAAACACCTTCCATCCAGAGTTTGGATAGACTCCAAGAAACTGTGGATGCCTTATCAATTTGGTATACTACTTTCATTTTTATTTTTATTTTTTCTTGCAGTTTCTTCTAATTTGGTAAATTTTCAATTTCACCATATTTTAACTGTAAGTTTTAAGTTTTAACCTTCTCTTTTTTGTGTTGTTTGCATTGAAACTTGCAGCATGACTATAAATGGGTGGGAAGCTCATGATTCATCTAGCCTTCTTTGCTGGAACAGGGTAACTATTTTTGACCTCTCGCCACTTTTTTAGTAAACAATTGAAAGAAAAAAAAGAATTATTATGTAGAAGCAATGAGATAGATTAGTTAGGGATTTTGATATATTTTCTTATTTTGCTTATGGTTAAATATAATTATAATATTCATTCTTTTTTGTCATGAACTCACAGAGTAAAGGTAGCAAATGAGCTGGGAGCTGGAAATGGTCAGGAAGCAAAATTTGAAGCAAAAGTTTCTGCTGCGGAATCAGTTTGGGTACATATTCACTTCCAGCACTGATGTCCTCCAATCAGTTAGTGAAATGTCTTACCTCTTGGCAGTCACAATTCTACTCAACGGTGTTCAACCCGTCTTATCAGGTTAACTTTTAACCATAGTAAATTTTTTAACTACAAATTAGTCGTAGGTATACAATCTTTACTTGTCAAAAGATATATACAACAGTCGTTTTAATGTACACGAATAGTTATTTGTTGTACATATATGCGGATCTGACTATAAGTTTCACCTAAATCAACGGTTAACGATGATTCAGTACTTAACTTGAATATTGCGATGCCTAAAATGTGGGTTTTTTCCTTGGTATTAAAAGATGGTGTTTAATTTTACAGGAGTGGCTGTGGGCTCAGGATGGCAAGCATGGGTGACAACACGACGTGATTGGGAAAAGCTCCACTTATTTCTTTCAACCAAAAGAAATAAAAGAAGAATTAAGGGAAGCTGAAGCTAACATTTTATGATACAATATTGGTTGACCAATATGTTTTGGACTTTGGGGTTGTGGGTGCTGCTGTTGCTTTGGATATCTCATGGTGGGTCGTGTGTTTTGGGCTGCTTGGCTATGTGATGAGAAAAGACGGAGTTGGAATGGAGGAGGATTGATGATGGGCTCTGCCTATCTGATCCACCTCTTAGGCTAAAATGGTAATTTTGAACACCTTCCTTGTAATTCTTTAATTTTATTTTAGTTTCTAGTTGCTTTGCTACCATCTTCAGATTTACTTATTTTCTTTAAATTAGTATTTATGATAATTAACTATGATAATTGTTATCAATTAATACAAAGGAGGAATTTAAATTAGTTATTGCATTTGTTTTCAATTCTTTTCAGTTGGTTAACTGTATGCTAATTCATTGATTTTTATAAAAATTAATTATATATTGTAGGTATAAACACATTCCTTGGGTTTCCTTAATGAGTTTTGATCATTCTTTGATCCTTTGGAATATGGAGAATCAACACAGCAGGTCTTTACCAAGTATTTTCTCCAAATGCACCTATCTAGTATGTTTCTGTTCGCAGGTACGTAATCAAGTCGTTTCTAATTCGAGCAAGTCTCGTCTCTGCTACATAAATCCTCATTTGATTTCAATTCATCATGCTTACCTCCTAGTCCTCGTGTTTTATGCCATTTTGTTATGCAGGGTCTCTACTTAGGACAATAACCTGGTGCAAATCATGGATGCATGGATGTCACCTCCTCAGTCCTCACAAGGGTCACCTTTACTTTTTGTGGCTGTGGATCTTTCTGGTTTATTTATCTATTCCGAAAGTTTTCCTTCTTCTTCCCGTCCTTTTTCTATCCAGTTATATGCTCAATATTTGTTGTCATTTTTTATGGCCCTGAATATGGAAGAAACTGAACATGAATTGATCAAATTCTTTCAGGTCCTCAAACTTGACACATCCGAGCTTTAGAAGAAACGATGCAGTTCTTCACATGGAGTTAGTAGCTTCGGTTGCTGTAATTAACTTGATCAAGATGGAATTGGACAGAGTCAGAGTGTCATGAGATCCATAGAAGACTTGTTCATCTCCAAGGTATCTTTGCCTCAAATTGTACAAATTGAAAATATCAACTTTATTTTTTCCTAACGCAACAATTCGAGGAACATACATGTTATGCTTCAAACCTTGTGCGTACAATATGTTTAAGGTTCTGTTTTGAAAGTGTAATCACATTCTAATCCCATTGAATTTCTCATTAACCTTGTAGTGTCTAAAACGACTACCATGTTTGTGGAGACTCTATTTAAGTGGAAATTACTTCAGTTTCTTAATGCACATGCAAAATATTTCTGCAGGAGCAGCATATTTGCGAATTGTGCAAAGATCGTTGCATCTCAATTAAGAGGCACAGTGGATAGGATTTTGATTGGTAAGTAAATATTGCAAGGTAATATTTTTGGAATTTGGAACCAAACTGGTCTTTCAAGCCTTTTTTATTAAATTAGATTCATGAAATAGTTTTGTCACTCTATTTGTATTCACGGTTTAAAAATCTAAGTCTTTCGGATTGCGTGCAGAATCAACAGATGCTGTGATAAAGAACACTACCACCACAACCTGCAATGGCTATGAGAGCCCTCAGCGTGGTCCACCCTTGCCATGAGCTATATGCTTTGAAGGTTGGAATCTCCTTTGCTTTGGATGCTTCTTGTGTGCCTCTTGTGTTGAAATCTGACTCTTTGACAGCAGTTCAAATGATTAACACTGATGAGGAGTGCTTGCATCAAAAGGGGTTTTGGTGGACAAGATTCATCGCCTAATTGAGTTATAATGAGACCACAAACTACTGTTCAGTATGTTCCTCGTAAAGCTAATGGAACTGCTCACCGGCTTGCTCATTTTTGTCTTCGTGAATTAGCCTATCATTTTGGATGGATGAGTGCCCTCCTTGACTACTCATGGATTGCATTCAAGATGATTGTCCTTCTCTGCATTCCTTTCCTTGATTCAATTGTAATTTCTTGGCATACGTGGTACTCTTTCCTATCCCGAAGTTTTGTCCCATGTGGTTTTTTTGAGGGAAGGTTTTAACAAGACCACTTCAATACATGCTGACTCTATTGTTCTTGATTATTTGAATGAATTATCGTTTGCCTTAAAAAAAAAGAATTTCAAGTGATTGAGCTTTTAGTTTTGCAAGGTGACACCAAAAGACATTATGATGGTTCATATTGTGTTGTAAAATAATTGGAATATGTGCAAATATTGATATGTACGTAAAGTAGATGAGACACAGCATCAAAATAAAGCCATTTCTCTTCAGTACCAGTATACCACCCTCTTCCATCAAATTTTGGATTGTAAAAACCCAAGCTTTAACCCTTTCCCCAAAATCATAGTTCTTTTCTCCCTCCCTTATTCAGATGAGAATTCACTAAGCATTGAAATTGGAAAATCAATTTATCAGCTCTGTGATTTGGAAGGGTGACTAAAGAAATTTGTTTGGGAAACTCTTTCCGAATGCGTTCTTCCCGTGTCAGAAATTTTTGTTTCTATATGAAATTTTTTTTTCTGACTTGTATATATAGGGCCTTGACATCCATATTTGCACAGGGCCTCCAAAATCAATGGACCGGCTCTGGGAGTTAGAAGAAGTTGAACAAGAGGTTTTTCGATCCCTATTCCTAAGTTATTATGAGTTGAGTCCAACAGTTAGACGTTGTCTTTTGTATTGTGCTGTTTTCCCAAAAGATTATGTGTTTGATAAAAATGAATTGATTGAGTGCTGGATGTCACAAGAATGTCTTAGTATGAAAGGTGATAAGGAAAAAGAAAGAATCATAGGCCAAAATTACTTTGATAACTTAGTGATGCGGTCTTTTTTCCAAGATTTTGTTAAATACAACATCGATGATATTGTAAAGTGCAAAATGCATGATATTATCCATGACTTTGTACAGTTTCTCACAAAAAATGAATGTTTTATTATGGAGGTGACGGAAAGTGGTAAAGAGAAAAACATGGTAGTCGATAATAAGATTTGTCATTTGAATATAATGTCAACATGCAATGATTCGTTTCCTGCTTCAATTTACAATTGCAAAGGATTACGGACTCTGATAATTTCTACTAAGAAACTTCCTACATTACCCTCAGACTCATTTTCACTATTGAAAAGCCTTGGAATGTTAAAGTTAAATGAAAACTCAATCAAAGAAGTTCCCGAAAGCATTGGTGGACTAGTACATTTGCGGTATCTCGATTTAAGTCAGAATGAAGAATTTGAAGAATTACCCTATTCTGTAGGTAATTTATTCAATCTGGAAACATTGCGTCTCAATTGGTGCAGGGGACTTAGAAAACTACCGGTGAGCTTAAGAAAGTTGGTTAACTTTAAGCATCTTTATGTTAGGGGGTGCCCTGATCTAAAAGTACCAAAAGAGATTAGAAGATTAAGAAATCTGCAAATCTTAGATGACTTGTGTCTTCAAGACGACTGCTGCGACGATGGAGGAAGTTTCAAGTTAGGGGATTTGGGAAACTTGGAGAAGCTTCAAGGGAGCCTTTGGATACAAAACTTGAAGTCAGCGAAAGATGGGAGTGAGGCTAAAAATGCAGAATTGGGGAACAAGAAGAACCTCCTTCATTTGAGAGACTACATTTTGGGCACGACTATGTTAGAGATCCGGAGAGAGCTGAGGATGAAGAAATACTGAATGGCTTTCAAGTGCATACAAATCTGGAGTCGTTGGCTATCTACAAAAAGAAGGGTATGCTTTCATTCCTTCCCCCAGCGTTTGTTTTGGTTCAATTGGTAAGGTAATTATGCGTCGTGACATCGCTATGAGAATAAAGGAAATAAATGAAAAGTTATCTGAGATAGCCATTTTAAGAAAAAATTATAACTTTCAGAACACAATTAGAGCCACTGAGAAACTTGAACGGGTTGAAACTTCTTCTTTTGTCCAAGTGTCTAGTATAATTGGTCGTGAAGAGGAGAAAAATAGATTAATGAGCATGTTGTTAAGTGAGAGTAGTCAACAAGGGGGGAGTCCATTTGTTGTGATCCCCATTGTGGGGATGGGAGGATTAGGAAAAACTGCCTTTGCCCAATTAGTCTATAATGATGAAAATATAAAAACTCATTTTGACACTAGAATATGGGTTTGTGTGTCAGACCCTTTTGAAGAGATCAAGATTGCCAGAGCCATTGTTGAAGTGCTAAATAATGGTGATGATCGAATTAATTCAACTAGTTTGCAACCTTTGTTGGAATGTATAAATGAATATATTAGTGGTAAAAAGTTTTTCCTTGTTCTAGATGATGTGTGGACTCCAACCATTGATAATTGGGAACCATTAATGGGAGCTTTACAAAATAGTGCTATAGGCAGTAGAATATTGGTGACCACGAGAAAAGACACGGTTGCTACTGTGACTGGAGCAGCCGCTGATCACGTAATCCATTTGAACATCTTGAGTGATCAAGATTGTTTGCAATTAAAGAGAATACTACACCAGCAGATCCCATCCAATCTGTCAGTTCCATGAAATCAGCTGATCCCATTACATCAGCCTTAGAAGCCTCCTAACCACAAGCACGACATTCATCAGCCAGAATGATTAATTGTCAATTCCTCTGTAATATATGTAATTGATTGGACTTACCTTATATCGTTAAGTTTCTGTAAATAGATTTGAGAAAGTCTAACCTATGTACCAATATTTATACTGCAGATAATACAGAGAACGTATCTTGACTGTGGCAATTATTCTTAATCTCTCTGTTCTTATCCTTCTCTCTTCCTCTTGAGTTCATTTTCTCATATGGTATCAGAGCTCTTTGGAGCTAACCCTCAAAATATCGATCCTACCCAAAGCAATATTGATATGTCCAAACTGATTTCTGAAATGTCAAAACTTTCCTCACCTCCATTCTCGTCCCATTCTTTGCCCACCTCTTTCAATATCTCATCGTTGTTCCCAGTTCCTATGGATCACACCAACTACTTGAGTTGGAAATCCCAATTTGAAGATGTATTGGAGATGCACGGCCTTGCAACAGTCGTCAAGAACAGCACAAACCCACCCAAAGTGCAAGAAGATGGATCTGTGCACCCAGAGTTAGCCAAGGATAAATTGGTCCTGAGTTGGATCAAAGCGACTTCCTCCTCTTCGATCAAGACACTTCTCATCCCTTGTACCACTGCTCATCAAGCCTGGACCATGCTGGCCAAGCGCCTCTCACCTCTTGCTAGTACCCGTGTACGGATTCTCCGAGACCAAATTCGCACTCTCAGAAAGGACAGCAACACAACAGTAACTGATTATCTCAATTATGCCAAATCACTTTTTGATTCCCTCACACAAGCTGGTGCAACAATGAATGATGATGAACTCATCAGTTATGTTCTGGATGGACTTGGTCTTGAATACAAAGAGTTAGCCACAACACTTCACCTGCATCCCGATATTGATTTTGATCGATTTTATGATCTGGCTTTAAGAGAAGAGCATCTGCAGAAACAGATGTCTCTTACCGTGGCTTCAGGAATGGCTATGGCTACCGACCGTGCGTCCAAAGAGCGCACCTTAAATTCAAACATGCCCAGACACAATCACAATCCTCATCACAGATCTGGCAGAGGACGCGGTCGTGGCAGGCATTGGAATCAAGGGCGTAGATCAAGGAGAACAGAGCATTGGGAGCTAACTTAAGGGGCTTGGTTTCCAGATCATCACTCTCAGCCTCACGACCAACAATCTGCTGCCGTTACTTCTTCTCCTGCGACTTTTTCTGATGGACGTCCTCCTCTTCTTCCAACACCACAAGGCAATTCCTCCAATACCCAGCGAACTGAAGTAATTTGTTTTCGGTGCGAAAAGCAAGGCCACATAGCCCGGTTTTGCCCTGACCGTAAGCCCCATGCATACATGGCAGAAAATTTGACAACCTCTTCTCCTCCTACTGCTGATGTGGCAAATCTCAATTGGTGTTTTGATTTAGGCGCTACTCACCACATGACAGCCAACGCTACCTCTCTCCCCAATGCTCATCCTTACACAGGTACAGATAAAATTATTGTTGGGAATGGCAATCAGTTAGCAATAACACATATTGGCAATACAAAGTTAACTGGGTTGCAAAAATCATTAAACCTTAATGAAGTCTTGTGTGTGCCTACGATCCGCAAAAACTTGATTTCTATTCATCGTTTCTGCTGTGATAATGATTGTTTCTTTGAGTTAGATGCTAATGGGTTTCATGTGAAGGACAACAAGACGGGGACGGTACTCCTTACTGGCAGTAGTTCTGATGGCCTCTATCATATTCAAACAGCCCCTCATATTGCTTGTCAAATTGCTTGTTATGGAAAGCGTACAACACAGGACGTGTGGCATGCCCGACTTGGACACCCATCTCATTCAGTTTTTACTACATTGTTGAATAAGTACCACTTACCACTTGATGGTACAATTGTCTCCAATAAAAATTGTCATGTATGCCCATTGGGAAAATCTTGTCGATTGCCTTTTAAATATAGACAATCTCATGCTCAATTTCCATTAGCTCTATTACATCTTGACTTATGGGGCCCTGCACCAATCTCCTCAAATTTTGGTTACCGCTATTATTTATCCATTGTCGATGATAATACTCGGTTCACTTAGTTATATCCATTGGCTAAGAAATCAGAAGTTCTTGCTACATTTATTCACTTTAAGAAGATGGTGGAAAATCGTTTTAGCTCTCGCATCAAACAACTGCAGATTGATGGTGGCGATGAATTTACTAGCAAATTATTCCTCACATTTTTAAGTGATCATGGAATATCACATCAGATCTCATGTCCATACACTCCCCAACAAAATGGAGTGGTGGAAAGGAAACATCGGCATATTGTTGCAACAAGACTTTGTTTATTGGCCCAATCTCGCATGCCCCACAGCTTTTGGGTTGAAGCCTTCTCTACTGCGGTTTTTCTGATTAATCGCCTCCCAACTCCTCAACTTGACCACATGTCTCCTTATGAGAAATTGCTTCAACGCACACCAGATTATACATTTCTCAAAAGTTTTGGTTGTGTCTGCTTCCCTCATATGGTGCCATACAACAGGCATAAATTATGTTTTAAATATGTTCCATGTGTATTTATTGGCTATGATGATCATTATAAAGGCTATCGTTGTCTTGATCCTATTTCAAGTCGCATTTATATCTCCCGGAATGTGATTTTTGATGAGACAAGTTTTCCCTACCAGCAACCTCATATTACACCTGCCGCCCAATCCATACCTGCCTCTCAATTTGATATTGGGCCCAGCCTGGACTCTTCACAAATCAACACTTCTACAAGTCCAGCCCAACCTGCTCCCATTGTTCTTGACTCTCCATCAGTCAACCTGTCTGCCAGCCCACCCCCATCTGATCCCACACAATCTGACCCAACACAACCTTTCTCCCCTGCTCCAACAGACGCCATTCTTTCATCGTTCTCCCACTCCCCAAACCCCTTGCCGTCGCCTCTGTCTCCCTCGTCGCCTACGACCTCAGCATCAATCACGAACACCACAAACCCATCACCCGAGTCAACACCCCCCTCTTCCCCTCCTGATTCGTCCACTCCTCCTTCTTCCCCTCTTGACCCATCTCTCTTCCCTAATTCTCCAGATACACCAAACCCTTCCCAAAATTTTAAAAGCCTCAAGTCCATCATCCCCTTTGGTCCTGCCACAAAACCCATGTACTCTCCAACCAACCCGCACTCCTTACCCCATGCTCTCTCTGCCGCCTGCTCTGATCCCATGTCCTTCGAACCAACAAGTTTTACCCAGGCTTCGAAATACAGTCATTGGCAAGCTATCATGAAGGATGAATACGATGCCCTCTTGAGGAATCAAACATGGTCTTTGGTTCCAGCCACCTCTCGAATGAATATTGTGGGATGCAAGTGGGTTTTCAAAGTTAAACGGAAAGCCGATGGCTCTATTGACCGCTACAAGGCTCGGCTTGTTGCCAAGGGATTCAATCAACATGAAGGATTTGATTATGAGGAAACATTTAGCCCGGTAGTTAAACCGGCCACCATTCGCACTATCTTGTCTCTGGCTATGTCTTATAACTGGTCTATTCAGCAGCTTGATGTTCAGAATGCCTTCTTGAATGGGTATTTGCAAGAAACGGTGTATATGAAACAACCTCCTGGTTTTCATGATTCCTCGCGTCCTCAAGATGTATGTCGGCTCCATAAGGCTCTTTATGGCCTTAAGCAGGCTCCCTGAGCTTGGTTTCAACGCCTCAGTGCTTTTCTTCTTGCCTAGGGATTTGTTCACAGTCACTCTGATGCATCACTCTTTATTCATCGCTCATCTTCCTACACAATCTATGTTCTTGTATATGTGGATGACATCATTGTCACCAGGTCTGACACTCAAAGTGTCCACCGATTTCTTGATCAATTGTGCTCCACCTTTGACAGTCGCCGAATGGGTGAGCTCAATTTTTTTCTTGGCATGGAAATTACTCGGTTTCCCGATCATTTATTTCTTTCTCAAACTAAATATGCAGTTGATTTATTGAAACGATTTAACATGACTGACTGCAAACCGTGTCCTACACCGTTGCCTTCTGACACTCGATTGTCCTGTACGGATGGTGATCCCTTATCTGATCCCTCTACCTATCGGAGTATGGTGGGTGGCCTCCAATATCTTACTCTATCACGGCCTGATATTTCCTTTGCTGTTAATCAGGTGTGTCAGTTCATGCACGACCTTCGTTCTTCTCATCTTCAGATTGTCAAGCGCATTTTTCGGTATATCAAAGGTAAAGTTGAGCAAGGTCTTGTGTTTCACCGGTCCAATGACTTTACTTTACGCAGTTTCTCTGATGCTGATTGGGCTGGTTCTGTTGATGATAGACGGTCTACCACTGGTGCTTGTATTTTTTTCGGACCTAATCTTCTCACCTGGACTGCCAAGAAACAGTCTACTGTTTCTCGTTCTAGCACTGAAGCTGAATATCGTGCTCTTGCCCATACTGCCGCTGAAATCTGCTGGTTTGGTTTCTTGTTTCGTGAACTTGGTATTCCTCTTAGCTCTGCCCCTTGCGTATATGTTGATAATCTCTCCGCCATCTGTATGGCTGCCAATCCTATTTTCCATGCTCGCACCCGTCATATTGAGATCGACTATCATTTTGATCGCGAACTCGTTGCTCGCAAAGCTCTTCATACCTTTTATGTTCCCTCCTCTCATCAGATTGCTGACATATTCACCAAAGGCCTTAGTCGTGAGCGATTTTCTCTTCTTAAATCCAAGCTCAATCTTCGCGTTGCTCCGTTACGCTTGAGGGGGGGGGGGGAAAGAGAATACTACACCAGCAGATCCCATCCAATTGTCAGTCCCATGAAATCAGCTGATCCCATTACATCAGCCTTAGAAGCCTCCTAACCACAAGCACGACATTCATCAGCCAGAATGATTAATTGTCAATTCCTCTGTAATATATGTAATTGATTGGACTTACCTTATATCGTTAAGTTTCTGTAAATAGACTTGAGAAAGTCTAACCTATGTACCAATATTTATACTGCAGATAATACAGAGAACGTATCTTGACTGTGGCAATTATTCTTAATCTCTCTGTTCTTATCCTTCTCTCTTCCTCTTTAGTTCATTTTCTCATAGCAATTATTCAATAAAATTGCCTTCCTTAATAGAGAAAGAGATAATCAGCTTGAAGAGATTGGGAGAAAAATTGTTAAAAAGTGCAATGGTTTGCCTCTTGCTGCAAAGACCTTAGGTAGTCTCATGCGATATAAGAAAACCAGAAAAGAATGGGTAGATGTTTTGGATAATAAGATATGGGAGTTAGAAGAAGTTGAACAACAGGTTTTTCGATCACTATTCCTAAGTTATTATGAGTTGAGTCCGGCTGTCAGACAATGTCTTTTATTTTGTGATGTTTTCCCAAAAGATTATGAGTTTGATAGAAATGAGTTGATTGAGTGTTGGATGTCACAAGAATATCTTAGTATGAAAGGAGATAAAGAAAAAGAAAGAATGATAGGCCAACAGTACTTTGATAACTTAGTGATGCGTTCTTTTTTCCAAGATTTTGTTAAAGGCAGAATGGATGATGATATTATAGGCTGCAAAATGCATGATATTGTGCATGACTTTGTACAGTTTCTCACCAAAAATGAATGTTTTATTATGGAGGTGGTGGAAAGTGGTAAAGAGAAAAACATGGTAGTCGATAATAAGGTTCGTCATTTGAACATAATGTCAACATACAATGATTCGTTTCCTATTTCAATCTACAATTGCAAAGGATTACGGACTTTGGTAATTTCTACTTTGAAACTTGGTCCATTACACTCAGACTCATTTTCACAATTGAAAAGTCTTAGAACGTTAAAGTTGAATCTAAACTCAATCAAAGAAGTTCCCGAAAGTATTGGTGGACTAGTACATTTGCGGTATCTCGATTTAAGTGAGAATATGGAATTGAAAGAATTACCCAATTCTGTGGGTAATTTATTCAATCTGGAATCATTGCGTCTCAGGTGCTGTATGGGACTCAGAGAACTACCGGTGAGCATAAGAAAGTTGGTTAACTTAAAGCATCTTTATATTGAGGGGTGCCGTGAGCTAAAATTACCAAAAGAGATTGGAAGATTAAGAAATCTGCAAATCTTAGATAGGTTGTATCTTCAAGACGGTGGCGAGGATGATGATGGAATTTTCAAGTTAGGGGATTTGGGAAACTTGGAGCAGCTTTCAGGGAGCCTTCGTATAGCAAACTTGAAGTCAGCGAAAGATGGGAGTGAGGCTAAAAATGCAGAATTGGTGAACAAGAAGAACCTCCTTCATTTGACTCTAGAGTTCGGGCACGACTATGCTTTCGATGAGGCGGATTTAAAGGATGAAGAAATACTGAATGGTTTTCAAGTGTATACAAACTAGGGTTGCAGGAACATATGTGGGGTGTAGTGAGTAATTTAAATTTTAAATTTAAATTTTTTTATCCTTAACGGTAATTATGTACAAGAGTAAAATAGGTTATTCATGTTTAAAATTAGTATGGGGTGTAAAGAACAAATAATGGAGTGCCAATAAAACCTCTCATTCAAAATATGAGGATTTGCAACTCCAATAGTCAAAAGTATATTTAATACAATCTCCAACTCACTACCACCGTGGTAGGACGCCACTGGCAAGGACATGATTCTAATTTCAGTAAAATTGGCAGTTGACATACATAAATTATAAAAAATCAGATTTTAGACATACTGCAAACACAAGCACAACACACCGGTGGCAATCTCATAAAACAAAATGAAAAAACACACAAACGGCCACCGGTGGCAATGTGTTGATCACGACTTATAGCGACACATTTCTGGCTTTGCCAGTGAACCTTTATATGCTTAACTTGTTCAATCCATCAAGAGATATATGCTTCCTTAACTCGAAAACGACTTTCTTCAAAGACAATCTAGCATCCTCAATGTCATTGCAAAAAAAAAACAAATATATATATATATAAAGTATGGAAAACTGTTAGGAAAAAGAAAACGAAAAAGAAAAATAATGAGCCCAGATATATTCTGCATTATTTTTGTTTTGTTTGTTCTTTTGGTCTGACAGTTATATTCTGCTTAACCAAGGAAACATTCTTTTCCTCGAAGAGAAATTAGGAACATTCCAACAGCCGCATCAAAGCAAAACCAATTCGAGCGTTGGCGGCAACTTTAGTAGTACAAGTTAACATTATTCCTTCACCGCACTTGGTTATAGAAGGCAGGGGGTGGTGTCATTCCTTCACCACATTGACACCAAGCTAGTAACCTTATCTTTCATACTCTGCTTTAATCATATTCAACAACAATGGCCGAAGCTCTGGTTTCCGTATTGCTAGAACAGTTGGCTTCCATCACCCTGCAGCAGATAGAGGAAGAGGTGAGGCTGGTCGTGGGCGTCGACCAAGAAGTCGAAAATCTCATCGGCCATCTCCAGGCAGTTCAAGGCGTGCTCCAGGACGCAGAGGAGAGGCAAGTGAAGGAGGCCAACGTCAAGAATTGGCTGTACAATCTGAAAGACGTGTCGTACCAGATCAACGACGTCTTGGATGAGTGGCATACCGCCATCCTCAAGCATCACATGGAGAAGCAAGGAAAAGAAGGTGAGAATAATGATCTTGTCCTTGCTAAGAGGAATAAGGTACGGTTCTCCATTCCCTCCTTCCTCAGAAATATTCTCATCTGTTTTGGTCAAATTGGTGATGGCATAATTATGCGTCATGACATTGCTAAGAGGATAAAAGAAATCAATGAAAGGCTAACTTGGATAGCCATTTTAAGAAAAAACTATAACTTTCAAAGCACAGTTAGATTCACTGAACAAGTTGAGCGATCCAAAACCACTTCCTTTGTCGACGTGTCTACCATAATTGGTCGTGACGAGGAAAAAAATAATATACTTAGCATGTTGAAAAGTGAGAGTGGTCATCAATTGGTGATCCCGATTGTCGGGATGGGAGGGTTGGGCAAGACTGCTTTTGCCCAATCCGTGTACCATGACCAAAATGTAACAACTCATTTCCACCCGAGAATATGGGTTTGTGTGTCGGACCCTTTTGAAGAGATTAAGATTGCCCAAGCCATCATTGAAAAAGTTCTGAAACAAGTCGATCCTCGAAAGGACTCAGATAAGTTTCAAACTTTGTTAGAATGTATATCCGACAATATTGTTGGTATAAAGTTTCTCCTCGTCTTAGATGATGTGTGGAATCCCACTGATCCTAAGTGGGGCCCATTGAAGGCAGCTTTGCAAAAAGGTGATGCAAATAGTAGAATATTAGTGACCACTCGAAATAACACGGTTGCTGTTATGATGGGAGCAACCAATGATCACATGATCAATTTGAATAAGTTGAGCGACCGACATTGTTTGGATTTATTCCATAGAATTGCATTCTTTGACAAAGAAAAAGATGAGTCTAAGTTGTTTGATGAAGATATTAAGAACAAGATTGCAAAAAAGGTTGATGGCTTGCCTCTAGCTGCAAAGACTTTAGCTAGTCTCATGCGATATAAGAAGACAAGAAAGGAATGGGTAGCTGTTTTGGAGAGTAAGATGTGGGAATTAGAAGAGGTTGAACAACAGGTTTTTCAATCACTATTACTTAGCTATTATGATTTGACTCCAGCTGTCAGACAGTGTTTTTTATTTTGTGCTGTATTCCCAAAAGATTATGAGTTTGATAGAAATGAGTTGATTGAGTGTTGGATGTCACAAGAATATCTTAGCATGAAAGGAGATAGAGAAAAAGAAAGAATGATAGGCCAACAGTACTTTGATAACTTAGTGATGCGTTCTTTTTTCCAAGATTTTGTTAAAGATGAGAACGATATTATAGGCTGCAAAATGCATGATATTGTGCATGACTTTGTACAGTTTCTCACCAAAAATGAATGTTTTATTATGGAGGTGGTGGAAAGTGGTAAAGAGAAAAACATGTTAGTCGATAATAAGATTCGTCATTTGAACATAATGTCAACATACAATGATTCGTTTCCTGTTTCAATCTACAATTGCAAAGGATTACGGACTCTGCTAATTTCTACTTGGAAACTTCCTCCGTTACCCTCGGACTCATTTTCAAAATTGAAAAGCATTAGAACATTAAAGTTGAAAGAAAACTCAATCAAAGAAGTTCCCGAAAGTATTGGTGGACTAGTACATTTGCGGTATCTCGATTTAAGTAGGAATCCATTGAAAGAATTACCCGATTCTGTGGGTAATTTATTCAATCTGGAAACATTGCGTCTCATGTACTGCCATGGACTCAGAGAACTACCGGTGAGCATAAGAAAGTTGGTTAACTTAAAGCATCTTTATATTGAGGGGTGCCGTCAGCTAAAATTACCAAAAGAGATTGGAAGATTAAGAAATCTGCAAATCTTAGATAGGTTGTATCTTCAAGACGGTGGCGAGGATGATGATGGAATTTTCAAGTTAGGGGATTTGGGAAACTTGGAGCAGCTTCAGGAGAGCCTTCGTATAGAAAACTTGAATTCAGCCAAAGACGGGAGGGAGGCTAAAAATGCAGAATTGGTGAACAAGAAGAACCTCCTTCATTTGACTCTATATTTTGGGTTTGTGGGTCCGGAGAGTGCAAAGGATGAAGAAATACTGAATGGCTTTCAAGTGCATACAAATCTGGAGTCGTTGACTATCTGGAATTACAACAGTACCAACCTGTGTCCAAGTTGGATGATGAGCTGTCATAATCTGAGAAGGCTTGAATTCTATGACGTTCCATTTTGTGGGGTTTTGGCTCCTCTGGGGAAACTCCCGTCCCTTGAATATTTAGAGATGGGTTGGATGAAGAGTGTGAAAAAGGTGGGAGTTGAATTTTTGGGAATAACAGGCGAAACACCGCAAACATTAATAAACTCGTTTCCGAAATTGAAACAACTTCAATTTATAGACATGGTGCAGTGGGAAGAATGGGAAGGAGTAGAAGAAGAGGATTCTAAAATTACAATAATGCCATCTCTTTTGAAGTTAGAAATCATCAACTGTATAAAGCTGAAAGCACTGCCGAACTTCCTTTGGAAGACCCCGCTGCGAGAATTAATCATCTTCGGAGAGGATTGTCTTGCAGAATGGTTCGAGACGAGATGTGGAATGGAGTGGTTGAAAAATGCGTCTCAAGTCCAAAACATCGAAATTCAGGGCAAGTTTGTGAAAAAAGACGGAGTTGGAATGTTGGAGGAGGATTGATGATGGGCTCTGCCTGCCTGCCTATCTGATCCACCTCTTGGGCTAAAATGGTAATTTTGAACACCTTCCTTGCAATTCTTTAATTTTATTTAAGTTTCTAGTTGCTTGCTACCATCTTCAGATTTACTTATTTTTCTTTAAATTAGTAACTATGATAATTGTTATCAATAAATACAAAGGAGGAATTTAAATTAATTTATTGCATTTCTTTCCAATTGGTTAACTATATTTCTGCTGGAGCAGCAGATTTGTGAATTGTGCTAGGATCGTTGCATCTCAATTAAGAGGCGCATGTGGAGTTGATTTGATCACTTTGCTCAAACAAAGAATTGAAGTTGCTAAAAAGCAAAGAAGTTAGTTTGCTCAATCAAGAAAAGTGCTAGGGAAAGTTCTGCAGAAAAGCCAATGAGCGGATGCATAGGTGCTCCAGCGACATTTTCCAGTCCTGAGGGCAGGATTTCATGATGTTGCAAAGCCGCTCGAGGCAAGCCAATGTAGTTTTTGTTTCTAAGTTGCATACTTGATTTTGGAGCACTTTTTAGTCTTTCCACCCCTGTTTCTCTCTAATTGTGTCTGGTAAGACCGCTACTACAGTGGATAGGATTTTGATGGGTAAGTAAATATTGCAAGGTAATATTTTTGGAATTTGGAACCAAACTGGTCTTTCAAGCCTTCTTTATTAAATTAGATTGATGAAATAGTTTTGTCACTCTATTTATATTCACGATTTAAAAATCTGAGGTCCTTTGGACTCTTTGCAGAATCAATAGACATTGTGATAAAGAACACTATCACCACAACCTGCAATGGCTATGCGAGCCCACAGCGTGGTCCATCCTTGCTATGAGCTATATGCTTTGAAGGTTGGAATCTCCTTTGCTTTGGATGCTTCTTGTGTGCCTCTTGTGGTGGAATCTGACTCTTCGACAGCAGTTCAAATGATTAACACTGATGAGGAGTGCTTGCATCAAAAAGGGATTTGGTGGATGAGATTCATCGCCTGACTGAAATGAGAGACCCCAAACTATTGTTCAGTATGTTGCTCGTAAAGCTAATGGAGCTGCTCACAGAATTACTTAGTTTAGTCCTCGTGAAAGTGGACTATCGTTTTGGATGGATGAGGGGCCTCTTTGGGTCATGGATTGCATTCAAGATGATTGTCCTGCTCCGCATTCCTTTCCTTGATTTTCTTGTAATTTCTTCGCATGTGTGGTACTCTTTCCTACTCCGAAGTTTTGTCCCATGTGGTTTTCTTCGGAAAGGTTTTAATGAGGCCACTTCGTTACATGCTGACACTACTATTTTTTATTATTTGAATGAATTATCGTTTGCCTTCAAAAAAATAGAATTTCAAGTGATTGGGCTTTTACTTCTGCAAGTTAGACAGCAAAAGACATTAGGAAGGTTTCATATTGGTGTTTAGTGAGGGTTTAGACCTTTGTGCCCCATGAAAATAACCAAGAAAAAGGAAACGAGAATAAAATAAACCACCTTTTAATTTTCCATTTGAGCTAAAGTCCAATATCTCTTAAAATGTCCATTCTGAACTCAGTACAGAAAATTGGCAATGTATCATTTGATTGACACTGTAGATTCCATAATGGAGAATTGACACCCGTTTTCTCAATCCCATTCTTGAAGAGTTTGTCAAACTTCGTTGTCAATTGAGGTTAAGTTAAAACCAATAATGACCTTAGAAAAATTAAAATTTAAGATGCTATCTCGGTAGATAGATGATGATTTACTTTGTTTTAGCTATGTGTTGTTTTTGGTTTTTTTCTTTGCTTTTTAATGTTGATTGTCTAAAAGGAAATATTGGTAAGTGGCCATTTTGTACTTCTGAACTGTGATATACTACTACCCAATAAAGGGTCACTTTTTGAATGATGTGGCCTGGACTTTTATATGCCCATTGATTTTGGGTCATAACATATCAATTTTGTCGTTTACATATCGACCATCATGTGTCTGTATATACGGTCATACCCCAAAATTTCTCCAAAAATGGCTGGTGCTTATGGTAGCAGAAAAAGGAACCTTGCATCATTGCGATATTGTTCAACCGCTCATCAGGGTCCTTCAATTTAGTAGTGGCATGGGCTTATTGGCTGCCAAAATCAGTGCAAACAATTATTTCTCTTTATAAAAGTTGCGTGGACTTGGCGCCTCTAATTTGGTCATAGCTCCTTCACGAGCTGTGGCGGAAATCCGTCATTGGCAGTGGCACACATGCATAGACACTAAAGATAATGTTATAATGATGATGATGACGACTACTTGTAAGCAACTGAACTAAAAGAGGTTTGTAACACAAGTGATTAAGGAGCATTCATAAAATTCTTTATGTATTAATTTTTTTAAATTAAAATACTATTCTAACATCACGCAAAATGAAAAAACTATAAGTCTTATAATTTAATTAAGCTAATCCTCCCTAATTTGTGAAGAAAACAATCCAAACAACATTAACAAATGCACAATAAACCAGTGCATGACAATCTCTATATGAGGACACTTTTGCTTCTCCATAACATTTGTCATCATCATTAACAAATGCACAATAAACCCAAAACGCAATAGTTTCGTTAATTTTTTTTTTATAACAAAGTTTAGACTTGATTGCTAAGAGCAACTCTACCCATTTGCCTTTTGCTATGGCAA